TAGGAAGTAGACAGTGATTCCTTATATATCCATTTCATTGTGAAATAAAATTGTAGATTTAGATTTTAAATTTGCAGACATAGATTTGAATTACAAGAGGATTCCCATCCCAGATTCAAAAGTCCTAGCCCACTGACGTCAAACACAATGGCAGCCGAACAAGATTTTCATGCACATTTGGCCTCCTAAGCGTCAGACTCAGAGACAGATGCGCACGAGATTTGCATGCATATTAGGCCTCCTTAGCTCCTGACCTATTGACCTGCCTAATTTACATTCCGGTAGAATTATCAAGAAATAAACTCCCCTAACTTTCAAAGAGTTATCTCAGAGAGAAAAATTAGAAATGGAAATATATCTCAATATGAGTAAGAGTTTCTGGAAAGGACCCTAAACAAGCAAACAAACAAACCATCAGTATAGATAAAAGCATTGAATATATGATAATTATTAAATTAGCATTAAAGTCTTTCTTGACTGACCTTTCAGTTTAATTTTAGATTTCTTGTGTTACAGTAGCTAAATTAGAATGCAGTATGTGGGATTCCACATTGTATGTTGATTTTTCCATGATGTGATGAAAAATTAAATTAAAGGTGGCCACGATAATAATTCCATTTAATGAATTTATAACTTTGCAGTCCTTGCATATTTTTGCTTTATTTGATTACGGTACATTTCACCTGAATTGCAGACCTATAACTCAATCTTTCTCATAGAAGAAGATTCAAGGCCACAGTGACAGGTTCTCATATATTCATTAATTACCACAAAAAACTTTACATGCTCGTTTGTACCATGCAGATAATCAAAAGGTTTCCAACAGCTAGTTATCTTCCATAGTTTTGATTTATCTTTTCATTATCATCTGAAACTCCGTTGCCAAAAAATGTAACTGTTGTCTCATAGCTTAGCAAGCACTTTCTGATTTTTCTTTGCTTATAATCTGTCTATTTCTCCATAATTTTCTTGTCTCTTTTAAGTGCCATGTCTCCCTATAATAACAGACCATGTCTTTTATATCAAATTGATTTCTTTGGTTTTTTGCACACAAGGACAAAGGCTACATTTATTTCTGTCATATGTCCCCTGAAAGTAATTCTTGACCAGACCTGTCCAGAAGATATTTTGTTAAATGGAAGACAATTTGGATGTTTTTCAAATGTATATGTTGTGAATAGCATATTATGAAAATTGTAAAAATAATGAAAGTTCTTCTTAGTTATAAGATGGTCTCTTATATTCATATCATATAAAAGAGAAAGGGTTACAATCATTTTGTGACCTATGTTGTCTCTGCCAGCTAAAAGAATTTTGCTTGGCTATTGCCTAACACAAGCAATGGCAGCAACTGAACAAATCAAAACATGTACCTCAAGTGAGAGTCAGTTCACTGACCGAAAGATTGCCCTATTCTGCCAGTTGTGTCCAAGTATCATAAAATGGCCTGGAAACTGCAGAACTTTGGATTGGAAACATTTTTGTTGATAATAAAGACTTTCAATGTAAAGACAAGAGAGCTGAATCTCAAATATGACCCCAGGGCCTCCCCATGGCAAGTTAAACTGAAATAGTATGCCTGTTGCAAAATGAAGAAGGTGGTACATGTATTGGTTTAGTAATTTGGTGTTTTTAGTACCAAGGGAGACACATATATATACTCAAATAAATGCCATAGAAATACTTCATCTGATTCGGAAAAAAAAAACCATGTACATTTAAGCTTAAATTGGGCTTCATGCAGTTTCAGAGTAGACTTAAGAATATATCCCCTATCTAAGCCATTGAATTAATGTTCATGTCTACATAAATCATAATATTATTTTTATTGAGCTGGACAATCTGATATATATATATATCCCCTATCTAAGCCATTGAATTAATGTTCATGTCTACATAAATCATAATATTATATTTATTGAGCTGGACAATCGGATGATGCTGATAGATTTCTTACTATTGAGTAAAGAGGATAGAATTGGCTATGTTCCTCAGTAATTTCATTTTTTTTCTGGATGGTGAAATGCTTCAGTACTAGAGCAGGAAAAGTTCAATGTAGACAAAATAAATGTCAGCCAGTCGGTTTATAGGGCCATGGTTTTGATTTAGAGAAGAATATACATGTATCTGAAAGTAAAGATATTGGATTAATTTAGAATATTGTCTAGAGATGAAAATTGCCATAAATGTCTTAAATGAATACATGTATACTTGATATTGGCAAACTGATTGTGAAATAGATATTAATTTCTTATGATTTTAGGTAAAGTTAAAACTTAAATTAGTATAGCCATCAATTCCCCATAGCAAACCAAAGAGCAACATCAAGTGAAAAGTAAGAGTTGAATTGAGGGTTTGATTTCATCTAGCTAAATGGTAAACGTAAACAGATGTCCATTCACAAACACTAGAACTTTTTTCAAGAACAATATAGGGTAATTATAAGTTCCTGCAAATTGAAATTCTATATGGTCTTATCCAAATGACATTCTACTTTTATATCTAGTGCATAATTACAAGATTTCAGGAAAAGGTGCAGATCTGACCCATCAGACATTTGAATTCACAACCCAAACCTTTCAATCCTTATGTTTTACCACTTAGCGAAAGAACAGATGAAAGAGAGATATTCACATTTGTAAAAGTGTGTGGTGGAAAAGACATATGGGAATGGTGATAAAGATATTGGGGTTTATTACTCTCTGTTCACATTTACACATATTGCAATAAATTCATAAAATACCCTAGTTACTGTCATTTCTGTCATATGATGATGATATTGTTGCTCTTGTGGAATGGCTGTTAAGTGATTCAATGTGTTGTCATGTGCATAAATATATCTAGATGATACAAACAACTGGAAGTATGTGGTGAAGAGTTTCTTGACTTAGTTTAGGGAAAATAGTAGTCCCTAGTATTGGTGAACCTTTTTTTTTGGGGGGGGGGGGGGGAGAGAGACTATACATGTAGGTTTCCTCTTCATCTGCCTGTCCCTATATGTCTTCTCAACTGCAAGTCAAACTCCATTGGTCAAGAGATCCAAAACAAAAATGCTTTTATCCAAAGAAAGGACTTGTCTCATTGAGTATACCTATTGAATATGAAACACCAAGCATTCAAAAGTAATGGCCAAAATGAAAGTTTCTGATGAGTGGATCAAACTCCAGGGTCAAAGGGTCAAAATTAAGGATAGCCAGGGTATGATCTTGACACAAGAAATATACCAGTACATGTGAAATATAAAAGCTTTATACTAAATGTTCAAGAGCTGTAATGGTCAAGGATAAAGTTTTCAAAAGTGAGTCACACTTGAGGGTCATGGTCAAAGATCAACATAATGTCTTGTCACAATGAATACACAGGTGAAGTTTGAAGGTCATAGCATCAACTGTTCATTTTGCAAAACTGGAATATTTCTAAGGTCAAGACAAAAGGTCAAATATGTTGGTATCAAAGAAAGGTCTTGTCGTAAGAAATGCACATGTGAAACATGAAAGCCCTAGCTCCAACTAGCCAAAAGTTATGGGCAAGTGTAAATTTTTTTTGCAGAAAAAAATAGCTAAACAGACAGACAAACAGATGGACATGACAAGCACTATTTATTCCAAAATCTTGGATTACAGGGGCATAAAAATCTTTTAAAATTTTAAAAACTTGAAAATTCCATTTAACAAAATAAATGGAGAATAGATTGAAGTTGTAATTTTCTAATTGGATACAAACTACAAAAGACTCCTGTCTGTTTATATGAACAACACACTGTTAACTCATTTTGCGCATAAGAAGCCAAGTTTTTATACAAGTAGCAGCAGTGTGCTTCAGTGTATGTTGGCTGTCACTGTGATGAAATCTGCCGACAGACATCAGAAGAGAAATCTTACTCCCACAACTTGCACCAATGACATCAAACATAAACAACCATACATAATATTTACTGCCTGGCCCAAATTCCAAGTTTTTTACTAGCCATATCTGATGATGTGTTTATTAAATTGCACCCATGGATTGAGTTAACCAAAACTGATATCATCTAAGTTTTCTGTAAAATAAGTAAAAAAATATCCATTTTTGCCATTGATTATGCATGCTTAAAGAGATTGGTTTGGCAGATTTGCTCTTTGTGTGAGCCATGACTAAAGTGGTTTAATGGTAACAAATATTGATGCCCATGAAAAGTACAGTAAAACATGCTTCTAGTGAAATTGCTTATAATGGATTGATGCTTACCAGCCAAGTGATTTTCATACCCTTTGACTATACATGTATCCAGTATTGTAAATTTAACAGATGTAATGAATTTCGTTTATAATAAAGCAAAATCATCCACCCCAGACACTTTATTACCCGGTATATAAGCGTGTTTTATTGTAAATGTTAGAAATATAGTATCCACTTCAGTCAAGATCATATATATAAGGTCAAGGGCATATGTTTACAACCTCTAAAGTGTAGAGTATACATTTGTAATATACAGTAAAACTTGGTTATAACGAAGTCAATGGGACCTATGAAATTACTTCGCTATATCCGTAATTCGTTATATCCGTATAAGGAATTCGTTAAATTCATATAGCAGGGGATTCAAGATAACTTCGCTATATCCGTGAATTCGCAATATATGTATTCGTACTATAAACAAGTTTTACTGTAATTTGAACTTTTGAAACTTTTTTTACCTGCTCCATCCAGACTTACTTTTACTACCAGATACATGTAGTCATGTATCATTAAAATGTAGAGGGTTAACAAGTCTACAAAGGTATAATGTGAGTTGATTAACATAGTTATAACTATGCTATAGTAAAAAAAAATATAGCTAGATCACCATAGTTTTATATGCTTCAAGCTGTGTTCTGTAACACACTCACAGAAGCAAAGATCAAGCAACAAAAAACCTTAGGTACGAACATTCTGTCAAAGCTGGCAGTACAAAACATGGAGATTGTAGACAAGTTTTGGATACTTTCTAAATGACTGAATTCTGCGTATCTTTATTTCAGTGATGAGGCTTACCAAGCCCTCCCTGATGCCCTACCATCCTTTGATTAGCGACACCAGGGACCTTCAAGGGGAGCTACTTCATTCAATCCAGACCTCAGACATTTCTCAACCCGATGGGGTTCCATACTTTGGACTGGGAGATTTATTGACTTTGCCTCAAAATTTCGGGTAATTTTATTGTTATCTTTTAAAAGATGAGGATTATAGCACATTTTGAAAAAAAAAGTTTAAGAGAAGAAAAAAAGTTGATTGGTGAAAGGAAAAAAATATATATGTTGGTTACAAAAACGATTAACAAGTCGAGATCTTTTAACCCTCAGGCTCCTACAGTTAATAAGTAACATTCTGGCAGAAGTAAGGAAATTGCCTCACATTTGTAGATGTCGAAAATAATCATTCAAGACATTTGTTAATTAAAAAAAAAAGCTGAGATATTTGGCATATTTTGAAAACAATATAATTTCCAAGACAAGGTAATATTTTAGATTGCTTGATAAAAAAAAAAAAATTGAAAATAGAAAAAATTTGAGGTAGCTGTCTCATCAAATATTTTTTTAATTATTTAAAGAAAAATTTCTTTGATTTGCCATTCTCTGGATGGATTGAAAATTTTGAATATTCAGATCCTTACCTGGCTTGTTATTTGTACAGGAACATTTTCCTAGGAGAGACGTTTTCAAGCTATATCAGTGTTCACAATGACAGCGTACAACAATGCCGAGACATCACTTTAAAGGTATAACCAAACCATCTTCACTTAATATAAAACACATGCCCTCTTCTTATCCAAAGTTTCCAATGCACTTGCTCAGTGAAAATACTGCGGGACATTTTTTTGCCCTATTTATTACCAAGATATGAAAAAGAGCACTCTGCCAGAACGCTGTTAATTTGTAATCTAATGGACTGAGATGCAGATGGTGTCGCCTAAAAATGCATGATACTGTCAGAACTTCAAAAATATATTACTGTCTTTAGGAGATGTAGGAGTCATGTAATCCAGGCTATATCATTTTGTGGTACTTATCTTAGACACAAGTTCATTTTTTTCCCCTGTTGAGCTATTATGCTGAAAGCTCACTGTTAGACTTTGCACTGCTTTTCATTCTTTTATTCCAGAAATTTAAGGAAGTAAATGGGAAGGTTTTTTACTAGGCTACATTTGTTCTCCGTATCTTTCACATGCTGTGGTTAGCTGCTTGGGATGTTCACCTTATCAGTGTTAATTCTTTTTGCTAGAAAGTGACTAAAGTCATTGACAAATGATATTTACCAAGGTTTTGTTTGCTGGTTTTTGAGGTAAAACTGCTCTCCAAAACAACAGAATGCTGGATGTGTAATGCGCACTATCATACTTGACTGTTTTTCTTTGAAAATATATACATATTTTTCGTCAAAGAAAAACACTTTTTGACTTGATTTATAAAATTTTTAAACACATTGTGTTTATCATAGGTAAAGTCTTCTATTATTGGTTTTCCTCAGTCCCATAACTAAATTTTTCATATTTTGATGTCATTAGTTTCTTTAATTTTTTTTTATATTTGTGAAATTTAGCTGATCTAAAGTAAGAATTTTAAAATTGTTCAAGCAATTATTGCCTCTTCTTCAAATAATTTTATATACAGTACTTATACATGTATCTATTATCTAAGAGCTTTGAATTGACCTAGAAATAGAAAGGTTAAAATTTCCATTATTCACTTGAAGTTTGCTCTGATTAATCTTTTCATTTATATCTATACAATTAGATAGCTTAGAGTTTTTCTGTGATACTTGGTTATCATATGAACACATGAAATCAAGATCTGTCCTTTGGGGAATGGCTGTAAGCCTATTCACAATTGGAGTCTTAGTATGGCCCTTCTTCTATTCACTTCAATAAAAAGAATTGTCACTTACTGATGTGATATGAATTGATAGACCTATTTTTAACATCTCCATAATTAGTTCAAGCCATGTTACCAAACAATTAGCAGTTAAATGTGAGAATATTGGTTCTGAAAAAGTCTTGTAATGAGATTTTTAAGATCGTTTTAGAAGGCCTAGGTTTATTTTTTGAGTCTCTCCCAAACAACCCCTGACCTAGTTTCCAAATTTGGCATAAATGTTTCTGTTATTTGATCTGAAGGAGACAGTTTTACTTTCTCCTGATTTATAAAAATGCTATCATGGCTTCTAATTGATAAAGTGATAGTAAATTAGCTACATCATTCTCAGTCCACAATCTGAATGCAAATATTTTTTATAAGCTAATTCTGCTGAAATGAATTATGGTCTTTAGAGTTGTCGAATTCAAAGATTATAAACATGACTTCAGTTCTGTACTGTTTGGCTGTAAGCCTTTTAAAACATATTTTGAATGGTTGCCCTTGTTTCATTTTGACCAAAGCAACATCATGTCTAGAGGTAATTGAAATTTCAGTTTTTTTACCTTAATCATTTGCATTGATTAGAACATGGACTTAACCCTGCTTTGTGCAACTTGTTTTTTACCTCTACCTTCCCAATAACTCTCGACTTTGCTTTTAATTGTGAATAGAAGTGAGCTTTTCTGATCACCCATTGTCCATCATCCGTTTGTCTATATCCATCTGTAAACTTTTGACATTTTTAACTTCTTCTCAAGGGCCAATTTTATTCAAACATAGTAGTGTAGATTCTAATTTGTTCAAATTATGACCTCCAGGGATAGGGCAGGGGCACAAAAGGTATTACAATGTGGGAAATCTATTATAGAATAAAGTTGCTCAGGTGAGCGATGTGGCCCATGGGCCTCTTCTTTAAAAGAAATTATTCAAAATATTTTCATCAAATTTCATGCACTTATAAAAATTTTCATGTTTGATAACAAATGAACCCTACACCAGGGTGGCCATGGGGCATTTATGTCCTTTCATGTTTTACTGTGTACAAATATATTACTGATTATATTGATGAAAGAATTCTTTTTTATCCTCAATATGTGTCTGAAATAAGTTTAAAGTTCAGAAGCCTTTCAATAAGTGAAATCAATTATAGGAAAGACAGATTTCTGTTAGTTTTTTTTAGTTCACTACATGTTAATTTTTCCTTCCAAAAATAGCAAAGTTTGTCCATGCAGCTCTGTTTCAATTTGCTTGATTGATGGAAATATGAATTCATTATTTATATATTTTTTCAATATGTCTTGAACTCTTTGAGGCTTTTAAATGTACAGTTACCAAGTGTATAAATATTTTGAAAGAATGTGTATTAGATTTTGAAGGTCATGTAATTAGAAACATGGAACCTACATTTAAATTGGAGTGCTCTTCCTTTTTTACTGATCTGCAATCAGAAGATTAAAGCAAATTCGTAAATCACACTTGATCATTCAAGTTAAAAGAAGAAAGATGGAGCCTATGGAAGGCTTAGCGTAATGCAGCTGGCTAATTGACAAACTATGCCATTAATTATAGAGAAGGTTAAAAATATTATTTATGAATATATATATATATCTACCACTGACTGGAGATTCTATTGCTAAGGAAGGAAGGATCTGCCGTCTATTGATATTTCTAAATGTCATGGCTGATCTTATTTTATATTACACCAGTTGGTTTCTATCGACATATCTATTCAAAAAAGCCTTTATCTTACTTCATACCTTCTAAACATATATTGATCAGCTTTTGCATTTTTAATGGGAGAACATTGTCAGCTAAAAAGTCATACCTTATGCATGATGGTTTGGGCATTAAATCAGAGTTGGGTTTCATTTCATCGTCTTACAATGCTAGTTAATTACTTAGTAATCAGCTGGTTCCTCTCTTGTCATTTTAGTTGTTAATGCTGCATACATGGTGTGTCTGTATGTTCTTTTTATGTGGTATGCTGTCTGTTTGGTTTATGAGTCTGTTATGCTATTTGTATGTTCTATATATGTATGTACCATATACTTGGTATACTGTTACCTGATATGCTATCTATATGTTCCATGCTGTCTATATGTTCTTTATAATTTGTATGATGTCTGTATCTTCCATTTACCTGGTGTGATGTCTGTATCTTCCATATTTATATCTGGTATGATGTCTGTATCTTCCATATTTATATCTGGTATGATGTCTGTATCTTCCATTTACCTGGTGTGATGTCTGTATCTTCCATATACCTGGTATGATGTCTGTATCTTTCATATACCTGGCATGATGTCTGTATCTTCCATATATCTGGTTTGATGTCTGTATCTTCCATATACCTGGTATGATGTCTGTATCTTCCATATACCTGGTATGATGTCTGTATCTTCCATATACCTGGTATGATGTCTGTATCTTCCATATACCTGGTATGATATCTGTATCTTCCATATACCTGGTATGATGTCTGTATCTTCCATATACCTGGTATGATGTCTGTATCTTCCATATACCTGGTATGATGTCTGTATCTTCCATATACCAGGTATGATGTCTGTATCTTCCATATACCTGGTATGATGTCTGCATCTTCCATATACCTGGTATAATGTCTGTATCTTCCATATACCTGGTATGATGTCTGTATGTTCCATATACCTGGCATGATGTCTGTATGTTCTTTATACCTGGTATGATGTCTGTATGTTCTTTATACCTGGTATGATGTCTGTATGTTCTTTATACCTTGTTTGATATCTGTATGTTCCATATACATGTATTTTGTATGCATGATGTTTGGAGATTTCACATACCTTGTATGATGATTGTTTGTTTAACATAACCCACATACTGTCTGCAGTTATTTGAAAGTAGAGAAAATGGTTTAAGTCATTGGTGAGACTTGACTGGAACTTTATATTAGTTTATGATAAAGAGGTTTTTATTAAAACAACTAGAGAGGGCTAGAAATTCACTCTCTTTGAATTCGAATACTTCATATACTCTTTAGTAAAATTGCTGCAGTTGTACAATATTTGTATAAGCAAAAAAAAATTTAAGGGACGTAATAAAAGTATCAGTGACATGATGAAATACTTGTATGCATTTACATGCATCCAACCATACCGTTGATATCTTATATTTGATGGGACAGTGAAGAAAAATCTTGAGATATCTAAGAATTCAAGATATTGAGGGTAAAATACCTGAAGAATTTAAAGTAGTTGGGATATATCCATGGTATTCAAAGTATCAGTGCTAGATACCAAAGGTCAAAATATCCCTGTGACTAAAAACCAGGTGGCATACACATGTTCTTGTTTTTGATTCACTCTGTCATTCAACAACATAGCTGTTAAAGCATATGACATAATACATGTATACATTTTCTCAACTAGATGTAAATTCATTCAAAGTCAAGGCTTTGTTTCAGTTCAAGTTCATGCATTCAAAATATTTTTTCTAGATTAGCTATGCCTTCAGATTAATTTTCAGGGTCATGGATTCATAGCAAAGTGTGCAAGGTCATGCATTCAAATCTGAATGTACATTTGAACAGATTCTCTTTCCAAAAAGCAAACTGTTACACAAGCACTTGTTTATCCCCTTAGAAAAGAGGCAATCACCAAACACAAAGGAATCAGAGAATCAGACATTTTCTCAGACAGTTAAAGCCTTAGGACTGCAAATGCAGAAAAATATTGAAGATTTAAATTCAGTGAACAATGGATTATAGGTTAAAATTACCCCTTGGATACAATATTCAAGTGGGCGTCCCTATCTTATCTCTAAAGCCATGTCCCAGATTCAAATGGTAGAATTATAACGATTCTTTGAATTATTGATAAAACATTTTACATCAGGTATAATTTTATAACTTTGACATTTGCAATTTTACCTCTTTCATTGATTTTTGAGATATTGCTCACTTGAATAAGATTCGGAATTGTTGGGTTTTGTAATAATTAATGAAATGAATGATGACAGCAGATTGTGGAATGATTTGTTGAAGGTTGACCTGCAGACCACATCCCAGAGACTGATGTTGTCAGGAGCAGACATGCCAGCCACAGAGGAGCTAGGGCCAGACCAGAGCATTGATGATGTGGTACACCATGAGGTCAAGGAACTGGGAACTCACATGTAAACTTATACAGTACATGTAAACTTATACATGTAAACTTACACATGTAAACTTATATAATACATTTAAACTTATATAAAGTACATGTTAACTTACACATGTAAACTTACACAAGTCAACATATACAGTATATGTAAACTTACACATAACATGTAAACTTATACATTACATGTAAACTAACACATACAAACTTTAGAGTACATGTTAGCTTACATATAAGCTTGTATAGTACATGTAAACTTACACATCTTTTAAAATTTATACAGTACATTTTAACTTACACACATGCAACTCTTTGTACAACACTTTCAATGTCTACAACACATATATGTATTCTATTTTTACCCCATTTTTTCCTTGGTGTTTTCTTGATTTGCATTAAAATATGCTACATGCTCAAAGTTGCAGATTTTGTTAATTGTAATATATTACATCTTTTTTTAATAATTATTTTCAAAAATTATCTACATTTTAGGAATATATGAAGAAGATTCAGATTTATTTTTATTTTTATCATTATTTAAATTCATTTTTGTATTCTTCTAGGAGAGGGGTTTTTTTTTAGATCTCAGTCTTAATTTTTCCTTCTTCAAATATTTGCACAATTCAACTTAAAACATAATTGCATTATGTCAAATTATTTTAGTGAGCCTAATCCAGCTAAGATTTTAGCATAGCAGAGTAACATATTATACTGTAGATTCCTAAATATACGCATGGAATTAATTATCGCGTTATTTCGCGAGAAGAACCGCACACAAAATAAACTTGCTTGCCTTTATTTTTATGATGCTGAAATCTACGTAAAATCTCTTGACCAACCATCCATTCGCGAATCATTATTTGTGATTTAACGTTGAAAAGCCCATTCGCGATAATAAGTACTTGCGAAAAATAAGGAATCTACAGTATGATTTATTATCATTAATATAATTTTTGACTTGTAAATAATTATGCATACCATAATTTCTTGTAGACTTGTATGTGCTGTGAGTTACTCAACTAACAATTTTGAAAAGATGGCATTCAGAAAGTTCTTCAAATTCCAGGTTAGATTTTGAAAAAAAGAACAGAAGAAATTAACAGAGACTTGCCTGCAGAACATTTTTTAAATGTATTTTTGAGAACGTAAAAATATTATATGCACCTGTAATAGGTAGTATCAATATTGTTTATGGTGTACACCCATCACATTCAGTGGGGAGCCTTCTTTTTTGTAGGTTTTGAAGCCATTGGATGTGAAGACAAAATTCTATAATGCAGAGGTAAAATAAAAGAAATACTTTGAAATTGATTAAAATCAAACTTAAATGCATTTTTTTTATGTTAATTATCTTTTAAATTTACATTTTTTTTTTTTGGAAAGGGGGAGGGGGCAAAAGATATTTTTTCTTAAGAAATTTTACATTACTTAGTTTCCTTACAAGCTTTTCTTTCACAAATTCATAATTATAAAGTGAATTGTAATTCAAGATTGCACAGTTGTATATGATCTATGAGTTAATTATGAAATTTTAGGTTGAAGAAAGACAGCCTATTCATCTGCAGTTTTTTAAGAACTTTCTTTGTGGTGTCCAGTTTGTTGATTTCATATAGATTTCTATAACAATGCTGTAGATATCATGTCGATTCTTTATGTTTTCATGTCAGGACCACGTAGTAAGTTTGCACTTCTTACTCCTTGCCTATAGAGCTACACAACTCATCTCACATTGTATTTGTCTCTCCGTAAACTTTCAGCTTTTGTCTGATCATTACTGCAATATCATGTGGAGAATCTTCCTTTCAGACTTTAATGGTGTTGAAAAATGTAGAAGCTTCTTTTGTTCATGTCCAGTGCAGTTTTAAAAAGCAGTAGATTCTTTGCCATCAGGGTTATCTTGATTCCTCATACCCCCATATCCCCAAACCTCTTCCCTGCCCTTAAAGTACACTCTACTTCTCTTGGATACTTATAATACTTTCGACAAGGTAGTTTAATGATCACAAACTACAAATATATGATATAAAGGACTGTAGGCACTTTTACATCTTTAAACACGGAGATTTACAAGATTAAAAGCTTAGTCTCAAATAACTAGGGTTGAGACCAGTGCAAGATTATAGTTATCACAACATAATTATTTTTATAGTACTACCTGTACAAACATCAATGAATTCAGTTTCTTTAATGCATGAAGAGTTTCACAAATTAAATTTTTTCCCAAGGAAATATAGCTCATTACAATACTTATAAATTACAATAAAATCACGTACATTCAAAATATTTGTCTCAATATACTGCACTGTTATTTGTAAGTTAAGCAAGTCATACAATGTATGTACAGTGTATGTATACTTCTTGATGTACATCTGTCTTTAATTTTATTTTTGCTCAAAAAGTTAGCAGGGGTATTTTCTTCATCTTTTTTAAAAATATTATTTTTACATATTATAGGCAAGATGAAATCAAATTTTCAATATTTTATTTCCAATTTTCTGATTAAAATTTATGTTAACTATCTAAAGTTCAGATTTGAGCCATTAGGCTAAAAATAGAGCTTATACTATACAGTTCCAGTGTGTACTCACAAAAAAGAATACATCAAATAAACAGCTAAACAAGAAATTTTAAAAACTTTTTGGTAGAATTAGATATTTTCATTTGATCAATTGAAAGCTATGATTGGATGGTATTTGGGCTTGTTTCTGCGTCATTTGCTGGAGAATCTGCTTGAATAAATTTTGCAATAGATTCTGGTAAAAAGGGGATAGGCCATTTTTGAACTTCTTCCCTCAACAGAGATAGGTATTTTTAATGGCAATGAGGGCATAAGGGCAGTAACTGCACCTACTGGTGTGCAAATTGCTTTGAAAATTCATAAGCAAATAAATACCTATGACATAAATACATGAAATATAATATTTTTTTTTCTGTTTTATATATTCTTATGTAATGGTTTGAGTCGTGGATATTGGCCTGGGTAGCTCAGTCGGTAGAACACCTGACTGGTGATGCTGGGGTCCCAGGTTCAATTCCCGGTCCAACCACACATTTTCTCCTTTCCTGTAATACACTTATAATTAAACTATTCTCATGTTTGATAACTTAGGTATATTTTTATAAAAGTAATTTTTTCGTATTCATTGAATGAAAATAAATATATTTGTACTCAGTGAACTATAAAATATTCTCTGCAGTTTTTAGTTCAATTTATCCCTTCAGTTAAAAAATATTCTGATGGTGATGTTTTCTTCGAGGTTATTTTTTTCTCCTGTCAAACATAGCCCACTTTTCCTACACTTTTACAGAAGAATTCTCATAAGGGAAGGAATTTGAAAAAAAGCTTATTAAACCCTTGTGTAGATCGCTGCTGTGTAAATGTAATGTGTTTTCTCTGTCATTTTCATTTGTAATTGTGATGAATACCACGTTTGTTCTTCACAGTCTGATGAAGTTTATCTTGAAGCCCAAATACAGAACATAACACCCGGTCCCATCTACATGGAACATGTCAGTTTGGAGCCGTCTTCCCAGTATATCTGTACACCGCTCAATAACGCTGGGGGTAAAGATCAGTAAGTATTGATTGAGTTAGTGAAATCAGTACATATATCAATGGATTTAGACTCAGAATCAGTGTAAGCTCTAATTACAGTATAACCTTTTCTTGCCTGATCACCAGTATCATGCAATGATGGATGATATTTTAAATTAATATGAAGCTATTCATCATGAGTATCTGTCAGTCACATGCAAAACAGATCTGCATGCGCACTTTGTACAGTAGGATTAGGGGGAGAGGATGAAGGCAATTTTAGATTGATTGATCACTGAAGGCAGTAAACTTGGTCAATATTAGGGAAGTGAGTAAAGACAGAAATATCTTGGCAAGAGGAAATTTTTACAAGCTTATCAAATAATACTTTTTCTTGATCAATATTTATGATTTGATACCGGTACCTCTTTGAAAATGGAATCTGAAGGAGTTATCTCTCTTAGCATGTATATTTTGACTTAAATTTGTGTTTAATGAAACTTTTGTAAGTAAGCCTTCTGAAGTCCTTGAAAATTTAAGATTACCCCATGTTTTGTTTTCATGGGAAAAAAAGTGAAATTTCAAAAGCTATAAATCAGGATTGCATAAAATTACCTTTAGGGTAGCAATTTAGAATATGCTAAAATATATACATATCAAGTGTACAAACAATAATGTTTATAATGGTAATATTGGTGATAAAAGGTAGCATCAAATTGAAATGCATATACATGTACATGTATATACATGTATATATATAGGTTAGATAGTTAATGGAAGCATTCTAGTTAGGCTTATCGATAAAGGAACATAAATGTTGGTTACTGCATCCCATTTTCACTAAATCAAAGCTTGTTAGCTATGTTGTCTAGAAGAAATCTTGGTGACAGCTTTATATCTTCCTTCCTGCATAAGATATTCGTAATTGTGCAATATAATCATTACAATCTGACAATAGATTTATTATTCCTGCAGAAAAGAGATGGTGTTTGGCAAGGTTAATTACTTAAACCCCATGGACATCCGTCAATATCTGTACTGCCTGATTCCCAAACCAGAAGTCATAAAGCAGAATAAGATCATGAAAGGGGTGACAGACATTGGTAAAATTGACATTGTGTGGAAGACCAACCTAGGGGAGCGTGGGAGACTGCAGACCAGCCAGCTACAGAGAGTGGTGGGTTCAATGTTCTACAAGCACTTAATGATCAAGTTTTAAGCTTAGATTAAAAGCAATTACTGTGTGTGTACTTAAAAAAGCGGGCTTCATATTTTAGCTGCTTTTAGCGCAGACAGGGATGAACTAATTCATGAATACCCCATACGAAATCATTTATACATATATATGTATACGGCACAGACATGTATACAGCTAATGCATGATTAGGTTTACGACTCCATACCCAGTGACTGAGCCAGTTTATGTACAAGTACAGTGTGTGCATGTCCATGCACCAAAAATTGGTTTCTATCATCAAATGTAAATGATTGGCAGTATAATAATTAAATGAGAGGTTTTATGGTTAAAGCAGAAATTTTAGTCAGTATTCAAATATTAGCATTTTTGACAAGTAGGTCGAGACTGCTAATAAAGAATATCATTATGAATTCATTTTACCGTTCCATGCATGTTATCTTTTTTGGCATCATGAAATTAATGTATACACAGATTTTTTTTGATACCTTGAGGTAGAAATGATAGGACTGTACTCTCCTTATAATATTTAGAATTGGCAGAATATATGTTAAAGATTAGATATATCGTTGAGGGACTATAGGAAGATTTTAGTCTCCTGAGTTCATATCTGTTTTCTGAATTAATAATTTTAGTTAAATCAGTATAATTGTGCCTGCTCTGTGATGTTTTCTTATGTATAATACTGTTACAGGCCCCTGGATATGGAGACATTAAAGTAACTCTAGAGGAGACACCCGATTCTGTTGTATTAGAGTCCTCCTTCAATATCATATGTAGGATTACAAATTGCTGGTAAGTTTTACTGCAGAGTTTTGAATCAGTTTTTAAAAAGTTTATGAAATACTGACCTTATTAACTTAATTAATCACATATTCTTATCTTTTCTCACTTTTCGATGAGGGATGTGAGTAAACTTTTGAATTTGTAGTAACTTTTCCAAAATGATTTGTAATACAAGTTAATGAAAATACCTTAATATAACTTTGAAAATTGTTACTTTTAAACTTCAGGCAGGCAAATTGTTTGCTCTCGTCATAAGGAGCAGGATCCTATAATTTCTACCAGAATTTGAAAATCAGATATATTTACTCTAAAATTTAGAAATATCCAAATGCTCAATATACCATGCATTGATTATACATTTAAAATATTTTTTGAAAACAAAATGCTTATTGTGATGGACAATATTGCTTTCAGTGAAAGAAACATGGATTTAACCCTGACTCTCCAAAACAATCAGCCTGGTGGACTTTTATGGACTGGGATTTCAGGGAGACAGCTGGGAAAACTGGCCCCCAAGGAGCACCTAGATCTCAAGCTTACCCTGATAGCCACTATTCCAGGATTACAGGTAAACTTGTAAATACTGGATCTCAATCTGATAGTGACTATTCCAGGATCACAGATAATATGTCTGTATCTCAATCTGATAGCCACTATTCCAGGATCACAGGTAATATGTCTGTATTTCAATCTGATAGCCACTAATCCAAGATCACAGGTAATATGTCTATTTCAATCTGATAGCCACTATTCCAGGATCACAGATAATATGTCTGTATCTCAATCTGATAGCCACTATTCTAGGATCACAGGTAATATGTCTGTATTTCAATCTGATAGCCACTAATCCAAGATCACAGGTAATATGTCTGTATTTCAATCTGATAGCCACTAATCCAGGACCACAGTTTATATGTCTGTATCTCAATCTGATAGCCACTATTCCAGGATCACAGGTTATATGTCTGCATCTCAATCTGATAGTCACTATTCCAAGATCACAGGTAATATGTCTGTATCTCAATCTGATAGCCACTATTCCAGGATCACAGGTTATATGTCATAAATCTGATAGCCACTATTCCAGGATCACAGGTTATATGTCATAAATCTGATAGCCACTATTCCAGGATCACAGGTTATATGTCATAAATCTGATAGCCACTAATCCAAGATCACAGGTAATATGTCTGTATTTCAATCTGATAGCCACTAATCCAGGACCACAATTTATATGTCTGTATTTCAATCTGATAGCCACTAATCCAGGATCACAGATAATATGTCTGTATCTCAATCTGATAACCACTATTCCAGGATCACAGGTAAATCTGTATCTCAATCTGATAGCCACTATTCCAGGATCACAGGTTATATGTCATAAATCTGATAGCCACTATTCCGGGAGCATAGGTAAATCTGGATCTCTATCTGATACTGTAGTAGCCATTATTCCAGGATTACAGGTGAGACGTGTAATAGAAAGTGCCTCAATCTTAATATCAAGACAAACCTGGCATGTTTATAATAGTAGGAAAGTTAACATTAAATATTTAGAGAAAATAAGGAATACATGTACATGTATATGATTTTTAGCTCGTCTGAGCCGAAGAATCACTGGGCCAGAAAAGCTGAAACTTATGTGGAAGCATGCTGGGGTAGTGTAGATTCTAAATTGTTCAAATCATGACCCCGGGGATTGGGTGAGGCCACAATGGGGAATCAAAGTTTAACTTGGAAATGAAAAGGAAAAATCTTCAAAAATCTTTTTCTCAAGAACCACTGGGCCAGAAAAGCTGAAACTTATGTGGAAGCATGCTGGGATAGTGTAGATTCTAAATTGTTAAAATCATGACCCCAGGGGTTGTGTGGGGCCACAATGGGGAATCTAAGATTTACATAGAAATATATGGGAAATTTTTTTTTTAATCTTCTTCTCAAGAACCACTGGGCCAGAAAAGCTGAAACTTACGTGGAAGCATCCTGGGGTAGTGTAGATTTTAAATTGTTCAAATTATGACCCATGGGGTCTGATGGGGTCATAATAGGTATTACAAGGGGAAATCTTTTTTAGAATAACATGGTCAAAGCTTCTCAGGTGAGCGATGTGGCCCAAGGGCCTCTTGTTTAAAAATATATTATATTATCATTGAATGGCACTGTTAACAGTCTAATCTTCTTTTTTAGGCAATATCTGGACTAAGGATAACAGACAATTTCCTAAAGAGAACTTATGAACATGATGAGCTGGCCTCAGTATTTATCTACAATGACTCTAATCCCTGATTCTTAACAATAACACTGTGTAGGACTTAGAATCAGACTCGATTATGTTTTAATTCCAGATGACAAGGCTTCCAGGGCAAGGCATTCCACTTTAAAATTCATCTGTGTTTTGTCTCGGCATTGAAGAAGAAGTCTTGGTTCATTTTGAAGCCTATTAACATGGTGGTTTAATCCTAAGTTAGCTTAAATATCAAGTGGAATTGTTTCCAGCTGTATGTCTTTCATAGCTAGGTTTTGTAAAATCTTGCATTTTCATTTTTTTTCACAAGAAAATTGACTGTTAATGTATTGATTGTTGTGCAATACTTAGGTATATGTTTATTGATGCAAAATTGTTATCAAAACATAATAAATTCTTACGAAATTTACTTATTGATTTTTTTTTTTTTGGTCTCTCATACTGAAATTTTATTTTATTTATTTCAGTAAGTCTACTTGCATGAAAAGGAAACAGGATATTTCTTTAAAAGACTTTATTAATCAAAATTGTTCTGGCAGCTTTGCCAGAGAGTTTGTTAGATATGCATGTAAGACGGTTTATGGGGGTAAGGATTGGCCACAATAGAGGATTACACTTTTACAAAGGAAAACATTTGTATAATGAATTAATAATTAAAAAGTTATTTTTTCGGGAACAGCAAAGCCATCATTGTACTTATATAGAAGCAATGTCAGGAAGTGATCAAAACATGACCACAGAGAGATAGGATGGGGTCACAGCAGTGAACAAAGGTTTACAAAGGAGTACGTAAGAAAAATAGCTTATCAAGCACAGAAAAGCCATGATACGTATGTCATGTTCATATGGAAGCATTCTCAGTCAGTGTAGATCAAAGTTGACCTCAGGGGAATGGAGGGGCCACAATGGAGCATTGAAGTTCTAAAAAGAAATATCTACATGTCAGAAATTTTTTTTCAAAAACAAACAAAGCCATGATAAGTCATATAAATTGAGGAGCATCCCCAAGTAGTTTAGATAAAACTTCGTTCAAATCATGCCCCTCCCTTATATATTGAAAGGAAAAAGAAGCACAGGGTAAATTTTTTAGGTGAACTAAATTTATTTTTCTTTTCATTTTTTTCAGTATTCCTATCTAACTTTTAAAATCATCTTTAAAGAAAATGTAACCAAAATCCCATTTGATTTTGTCTTGTGGAAACATCGTGGAGAGATCTTCGTGATCGTAGTAAAAGCTCAGTAAAAGCGTAGGAACTTGTGAAGTATGCTCCTACAACGCTCCCACTACGTTCTTACTTAGTACCACTACGGACTCTCTACGTTCCTGTCAATCCTACGAAGACCTTACTCCGATCATACCACGACCTATCAGGCAGCAGTTTGTTTTTTATAGCCTGATGAATTGACCTATCATCATCAGTCAACTACTACTGTAAAGGTTGACACTATAGTTGACGGTCATTTGCAGTTGAGTCTTCGACATCTTGTTACAGTTACAATTGAAAATGCCCCGTAGACCACGTGGTAAAGGCCATGAAAAATCATATATGCATTATCGTCAAAATCCTACCAGAAAAATCTGCGGTTGCAAGGTATATATACATCATCACCAAAATTGTACTAGAAGCGTAATACAATCGTAAGATGATCGGCACCACCGTAGCGATATCGTCGTACAGTCATCAAGGTCTGCAAGCGTCGTAGTATGATCTTGTATGTCGTAGCGGTAGCGTAGCGTAAACGCTGTAAACACGGCCGCTGGTCGCAGTCTGCGTAACATCGTAGTATAAGCGTGATAACAGCGCGTTTGACGAAGGGGCATCGTATCGTAATGAAGACCATACTTTGTCAAATTGCTCGATTTAGACGCCGATCGGCTCCGATCCGCCCCGATCCAAAACTTTTTAAGATTGTGGCTTGTTCGGGATGATTGTCGTAAAGTCGCAGTGCTGTGTGAAGGGGAGTTACAGGGTAAACAGGACTTGCAACAGAGAAACTTGGACCATAAGGAATGTCTATTCAGCTGCGTAGTATTGTGGTCATCCTCTAGGTCTTCTGGCCCATCTGGTATCTTTGCCATGTTAACATTGATTGCGTCCTTCTCTGCCTCTTGCCAATTTAGTGTCTTGGCCAAGTTGATTTTGTTTGCTTCTTCATTAAGCTCTGGGGCAGTGGGTGATTTGGCCATGTTGACTTTGTTTTCTTCCCTCTATGCATGTGGCCCAGTAAGTGTCTCTGGTTTGTCAACTTTGTTTGCTTCCTTAATTTTCTTAGGCCCAGCAAGTGTCTTTGCCATGTTGACTTTGTTTGCTACCTTATTGAGTTCTTTGCCAGTGGATGATATTGCAATGTTGATTTTGTGTCCTTCGTTTTGTGGCTCTGGCCCAGCATGTGATTTGGTCGTGTTTACTTTGTTTGCTTCTCTCTTTGCATCTGGCCCAGTAAGTGTCTCTGATTTGTTAACTTTGTTTGCTTCCCTAATTTTCTCGGGCCCAGCAAGTGTCTTTGCCAGGTTGACTTTGTTTGCTTCCTCCTTAAGACCTTTGCATCTGGTAATTCTAATTAATGTCTTTGTTTAGTCTTCTTTATTTACCTCTTCTGTTGCTTCTGATAATTTTTTGTTCTTGTCTATCTCTGCTTTTTTTCTCCCTTCTTTCTGTTTCTGCTTTGTTTGTGTCCATAGTTTCAGCTCTTGATTTCTTGTTTATTTTTTTTTTCTTCTGACTGTAATTTTTGGCTTTTAGTTTTCTTCTTTACACCATCAGTTTTGAGTCTCTTCTCTATTTCATCTTTCAACATCTGAAACTTGCATTTTTAATTTTTTTTCCTTCAATGCCTCTTTTTCTTTCCCTTTTATTATTTTTCCCCTTTTCGTTGTCTTTGGTTGGTCATCTCTCCTTTGTTTTTCTTTTGTCATCTTTTTACTATTCTTCTTTCGAACTACTAGTATCTTATTCGCTGAATTCAAAACAGCCCGATGATCTTCCTGAAAATTAATCCATTTAATATATAATATATATTAATATTAAACTTTGGTTGTCGAAATGTATGTCTCATGAAATGTTTGGCTTTTTTCATATTCAGTAGTAACTGAATTATTTTTTACCTGATTTTTAGGTTACCTAAGTAAACTCAGGTAACCTATTGCTATCCGTTTTCGTCTGTCGTCGTTGGTCGTGCGTTAACATTTGTACATTTTCAGCTTCTTTTCTTAAATTGCTGAACAATTTCAACCAATCTTAGCATATAGCATCTATGGGTGAAGGGGAACAAAAACTGAATTTCATGGTCCCTGCTTCCCTGGGGCCTGGAAGATCGGAAAAGATTGCGCTAATATTAGTGCATTTCCGTTTAAATCTGGAAATTTTTAGTGCTTGAACTTTTAGCAACAAAAAATGAGTGTGTGTGTGTGTGCCAGGGTGTATACTTGTGTGTTAGGGGATGAGACAACCAGCAAAAACAGTCCAATGAAAGAAAGATAACTCCAAAGATAGCAAAATCGCCTCCGTTTGATGTCAAATATGACGTCACTTCATAGCCACTCTCACAGTGCTACACCATGACCAAACAAGTTACCACCAATCGCTCTAATACATTCATTTGATATTATTAAAAGGATTTCATTAACTGGATTTCCGATATGCATTGGAGGGACTTTTTGCATTCGTTTTGAAGGTAAGCTGAGCTATTTTTCTTGTATTTTGACCATTTTGATTTTCACCCTCACTGTTAGGCCTAACCGTTTGGATTAGCCTTTCATGAACACGGAGATCGGGTTTCATGCAAATTTATTGCTTATAGATGTCGGAGCAAGGTATAACGTTAAACTTTGAAGGTTGAATTTCAATCGGGGAAAGAGGCAGCTATTGCAAATAAGACGAGTCCACACTTTGCAAAAGTTGTGTCCCTTTCCTGGGTCAAAAAAAATCACATCAAAATGACACCAGTAGGGGACTCATCTAACACAACAGCCATCAAAAACCCTACAAGATGAACAGATTTTTTATTCAGCCAAAGGACAAAGTTACAATCCCAGAAATTGAAATTTATAAAGGCTGCTGTGAGTGTGAGGATTCGATTCTTTGCTTTGGGGTTTTCCCCAAAGCCAAACAGCCAAGCAAGGGACATCACTTTTGAAGTAATATGTTAAATAATGTTCTAATATTATAACATTTTTTAATTACAATGTATTTGATTCAATCAATTTTACATGGAATTTTGTATTTTAAAACACCCGAATATATAGTATACAGGTGTCTCATTATATCGCGGTACTTAAATCTTTTGCATAAAAAAGTGTAATTTGATTTTTTAAATTTAACTTTCATCAAATGATATTAATAAAGCAAACTATGGCCTAACTTTTTTCCCAAGCTTGCATCATCTAAGTTGTACTCTATTTTTAAAACAGGAAGTTAAATTGGAGAGTCTCAATATCGCGGTATACATGGACTTCATTCTTATTTTTTATTTTACCGTAAAATAAACAATTATACAAACTAAAGACTTTCAAAACATGAACTTTATATGGATTTTACTAGATTATAAACTCAGTGGGCTAAAAATAATAAAAACGGAGACCGATTTCTGTAAAATTATGTTTTATTTGAATATTTTTTTTCCAACGCATTTTCCATACTTTTTAATCATCACAAAAATTTACATTCAGATGACAGACTGATATTTTTTTTCAACAAAAAGCATATGAGCTATGTATCTGATTTTTTGGAATATACCGCGATACAATGAAACCCGCGATATAATGAGAATCGAGTATATAAGTATAATTTTGAAAATGTGATAATCTGAATTCCCCGCGAAAAATACTCGGAACATTACGTTAGCGATACGCAGTGTACTCCGAATGCATACCGTTACCATGACGCTTCGTAGCTAATGTAAACAACATGGCGCATAAAAGGAAGTTTAGAGGAATTCAAAACTTTGTAATAAAAGCTTATTTGAGTGGAATTCAAAGTTTTTTCAACTCTCTAAAGCAGTTTTAGTATTTTCCTCTCCGAAATATTAGGTAAAAAATGCAATAAGTGCGATAAAGGTTAACTAAGGTTTTCATTTTTGGCTACTTTTGCTGTCTGTGTTTTGTTTTTTAATTTCAAGACGATATTATGATACATAAATTCATTGTAGGCTGCAATCTTACGTACCAAATAAAGCCTCTCTACATGATTTCTTTAATCTTAATGTTTTTCAGAAGAAAATCAGCTGATAGGGTGTAGTAAAAAATTAATTTTAGTTCCATGATACTGAAAAACACTTCAAAAATATCACGAATTTGAATAATTTTCGAAAAATAAACACAGTTTGTCCATAATTTCAACACGTTATGAAAGGTGACCTAAATTTGACTTCTGATCCGATATAATCTTTCAATTTAACCTGAATATTATGACATGATGCTTAATTTATTTGGTACCAGTAACACAAATCCGTTGTTCAAGATGGCCAACAGCTGTCTGTAACATTTTCGCGCTCTTTTCAAGCTGGCCGTTAATCGCCAATCAGCGCGCTCTAAACTGAACCAATCAGAAAGGGCGCAAAAATACAGGAGGGTATATATACAAGGCCTCCCGTAACCCAGCATCAGTCGCAAAACAACAGTCGCAAGATGAGCATCGCCTCCTTAGTATTCATTCTATTGTTGATTCCTGCTGGCCCGGCAACCATCCCGGAAATGCCAGACATGTATGAGTAAGTGCAGTCCTGACATGGAATTAATTAAAAAGAGAGAATACAGGCGTATTAATTTTAAATTTGAAGAATAATTTCTTCATGCGGATCATAGGCTAGCGCCATTAAAATTTCTCCTTAGATACGGTCGTAACCGTTGCGGACGTCGGTAATTTTCTCCCTTTGAATTCATTTCAAAAACAAAAATTTATTACAGCGATGTTCTTTAAAATCATATTAAGCTGTTTTCACAATTATTTTTGCATAAGCGCTATTTATTATGTCGTGTGTTGGGGGGGGGGGGGGTTACACATTGCAAACATAAACATAATCAGTAAATATTTGTACCAGTTTACCAGTAAGTACTTAATACTGTCTTAATATTTACTCGTATTAATTTATGTATCAAAATTTAGAATTACAATGTATTTTTTTATTTATTTCAGATTTGTACAGGGCATGTGGAGCCTAACGACAGAAACAACATGGCACATTTCGGTAAGATTAGGCTTCGGTCATCTTTATCTCCATTTGAGCTGTGGCATCTGCTCAACTGTCTTCTATTCTCTAATTTCTGTCTATTCTCTTTCTTTTTCTCAGCAAACGCTGTCCAGTGCCGATGAGAAGGTTTTCCATCTCTCGGCCTCTCTCGCCACCAGCAGCATTTGTGCACTGGACTCTCTATCCACTTTTGCTATCACCATTATCTCAGGCACTTACTCATTGTTGAATGGCATCTTGGACAATGTTGTGACTTGGTATATTCAGTTTATGGATCACGCCGTTAGTGTGTCAGCTTGTGTTTTGGGGTACTGTGGGGACATTTTGGACTACATTTCATCACTCTTTGGACAAGGTTTTGGATTTATGGAGCAAGTTCTTTCGGTTCATAAACTCTCTCTCGTCATGGATTTTCTTTCTTCCTTCTCTACAAAAGACTGTGTACGTTTGGGTGCTGGTTTTTCCTTTGTGGCTTTGTGTGTATCAGTTATTTGGATGGGGCTTGAGATGAGGGAGCATCTAGGGCGGATGCACAGGACAGTGGCCAATCTAGGAGAAGGTTATTGTTAACCTTGCATCTTCAATTTCTAATTATTTTTTGTCCCCCGCTTGAAAAGTGGGGGATATTAATTTGGGTTTGTCCGTCCGTCCGTCCGTCCGTCCGTCTGTCCGTCCGTCCGTTACACTTTCTGTCTGTCTGTAACGCTTTCGTTTCCATATAAGGTGAAAGGTCAAAGGTCAAGGTCATAAATAAGCAAATTCTCTCTGTGTTTCCACACGATATCTCTAGAACCATTTGAGCTATTGCAATGAAATTTTATATAACAACTCCCTGTGGCCTAATGAAGACCCCTATTGATTTTGAGGTCAAAAGGTCAAAGTTCAAGGTCGTAAATTTATACATTCTGTCTGTGTGAAATACTATTATTTCTGGGCGATATTTCAAGAAGATTTTGAGCTTATGCAATGTAATTTTATATCAAAACTCCCTAGGACGTCTCTTGCCCCTCTCAAAGTGCCCCGCCCCGTTTGTTTCATTAGTATTTATAGTATTACATGTCGCTATTTTTAGCGCAGGGGCATGAGGAGAGTTATTGCGTATAAAACAGGTTCTCGGCGGACTTTATGTTCTTATTACATATATTAGAACTGTTTAATAAAGGCTAAATAAATCAAACACCATGGATTGTGTAAAATTTTGAGAATACCGAACATGAAAACATGAATATATACATGTATGTGACTTCACTTCTGCATATACTTCACACCATGTAAACGGATTCCGTGGTCTAGTGGTTATGTCTCTCGCTTCAAGTGTGAGAGGTCCCGGGATAAATACTTTTTTTTTCCCTAAATGATAGTATTCAGCATGTGAAATGAAAAATTTATGAGGTTATAAAATCATCATTACAGTGTGATAAAAATTCCATATAAAAAATCTTCTATACACATAATGAAGAATAAGCAATCAAATCTTTATATGCATATTGACATACATGTATTTTATTTCCTTCAGTAAACATGTATACATTTAATAATTCTACAAATTCAGTCAGGGGGAGCCGACTTTTTCCCTAAGCGGGGGACACGAATTCTCTGAATTAGCTTGTTTTCTTTCGTTCTTTATATATAATGATGTCTGATATGCGGCCTAATATATATTTTAACCCACTTTTGCAGAAAACAGACATTTGATGATAAAATTCGTTGCTGAATTGAACACGCTAAAGGAAAGGCAGAAAGAGAATGGTAAATTTGTATAACTAATAAATAGAGAATTTTTTTTTGAAGAAAAACGAAAATCAAAATAGTTTTGAAAATAAATCATGTAACTAACTGTGTGTATTTCCTTACAGAGAGAGCCCTGACAGAAACTAGACACAGATCCCAAGCCCTGTCCATGTGGTTAAACGTGTACACGAGCGAACTGTCTAGGAAGTAAGAACATTATCAAAATGCGCTTCCTTTTTTTTTTTTCAAATGAATCTTTAAATGTATTTTATAATGTATAATATACTTGAGAAACTTATCATAGATGAATTAAATACAACTTCCCAAGATTTTATAATTTTTAGTATAGATCTCGCAAGATATTTTTAATTACCATTAGTACTAATCTAAGTATTTCTATTCCTTTAGGTTAGACACGCGGTCTGCTGGACAGTTCGTTCGTAGATCCCTTCAACGCCAAAAGTTGCTATGAATGTCACCTTTGTTCATTTACTATGTTATTGTTGATTAAATATATGATTGATATATTAACTGTGTGCTTGTTCTTTTCTATCAGTGCTTCTTACACAGAGTGAAAGCAAAATGCAGGCTTAATACTTTGCCTTTAAATTATCTAGCCGTAACCGTATTTCAATTCATTTTGTCTTCAATCCTATGCTGTTTTTTTTTTTAAATAAATAGCTAAAACCATGAGCTGAACATATTCTTGTCGACATAGATTACAGATACTGTTTTCAAATTAAGAGTACTAGTAACGTAATAATCACAACTGAAGCAAAAAATATAGAGATCATTCTTAATATCCTTATTTCATTAACTTGTTTGTCAATAGCCTGCCTCTTTATAATGAGACAATTACATGGACATATGATTATGAATATATAGTGTACTCACCAATTTGTTGTTTGTCAAATTAGCCCAGTGATTCAGTTCTTTCTGGAGACAAACTGACCATAGCTTGACAAATTCATGGTACATGTATGTTGATCTCAAAGCCCCTTGGTATATCCTCAGATGATATTTATCAGTCAGTAAACACAGCGAATCATATACAGTGGAACCTCATTTATCCGAGGCTTTGGTTCCTAGTCAATTTGTCTGGATACTAGTACGTGAAGCGTCCGGATGCCTGAATTACCAGTTTAACAAAACAAAATAATTTTTAAAAATTCCGTTCCAATGAAAAATCGTCCAGATACTGAAACATCCGGATATAGATCTGCGTCCGGATATCTGAAAGTTCACTGTATCACATACTAGTATCATGCTGTAAATTTTGAATTTACTAAAGGGGGAGGGGTTTAAATGCAAAATTTACAGCATCATAACTTGTAAAGGATCACTTCATAATAAATAGGGATTTGACCTATAGGACCGGGCTTGGTTTTTTTTTTCTATAAAAACCTTGTCGATTTCCGTTCTGATTAATGACATTAGGCTAAACACATCTAACAATTTGTTTTTTTTCCCTTAATCTTTATTTCAGTGAGTAGAGGTAGGAGGAACCCTTACATTGATTTTCTGAGTTTGTTATCTCCAAATGTAATAATTGATATTTTTCTTTACTTGCATTGTACATAATGGTAATGTTTACTGCCTCTGAAATTCTATTATTTATGTCTAGGCTATTTTATCCATGAATATAATAAAACATGCCATTAATGTGTGCAAATTATACAGGCCTAAATCAAATCCGAGGGAGTACAGTCACGGATATATGTACCCAAAATCAATGTTATTAAATTCTAAGGAATATATACAATTGACATTCATCGCAGCTCAGTGCTGCCAAGAGTACCTGTATTGAGTAACACCGAGTGAGTTATTCTTGTCCTCAGAGAAAGTGTGCTTATACTGAGGTTTGTTCCGCCTGACTGACAACTGGATTTTTACGATTTGATATCTCAGACTCTTTAGTGTTTCTTATATCAAGAATGGGCATGCATAAAGGATAGATAATTGAAGGAAAATACACAAATCTATAAAGAATATTAAAATAGTCTTTGAAAAGGCGAAAATTAAAAACTTTAAAAGTGTGGTACCAGGTGGATTCGAACCCCCGACTTTAAAATGTTTGTTTACACGGTGTAAAAGTCAGCGCATATATCAACTGAGCTAATCTTACTAATCTATAATATTTTCAGGTATAAATTTGAAGCAGATTATCAAAATCGGGTTTCCTTATTTTTTGTAGGTTTTTTGTGAATTTCGACCTTAAGGCAGGGGTGCCCCTAAAAAAATCCTATACTATTCCTTACATCCAAACCTATCAAAATATCACAATTTTATTTGGGGGCAGGCCTGCCCTGAAGGACTTCTAGACCAAAATTCATGCAAAAATCAACGCTTTAACGGACAAAATGATGTTGCGGCCAACTTTGGAGGTTTATTGTAAAGTTGTAAATAATAAATTTTAGGTGTAAAATACAAATTTGAAAAATTTAGACATATATACGGTAGAAAACAACAAATAAAGATTAAATTTTAAATGTCACTTTTTCCGGGAAACTATTCTCTCCTATAGGTCAATTCTTTTGTCAAAGTGAATACAGTGAAAACTGTCTAATCCGACACCTGAATAATCCAACACACTGTGAATTCCGACGTTAAATTTCTTTCCCATTTTAGTATTTTCCTTGTTTTTATCACTGTGCAATCCGACACCCTGTCTATTCCGACACAAAGTTTGTCTCCCAGTGCATGTAGGATTAGACAGGTTTCACTGTACATCCTTTTGCATTAACCTCCCTCTAGTATATTCAAACTTTACAACGTGATACTAGTACATGTACAGATTTCTTGGGAAGTGACCAACTAAAATTCGATGTAAGATCAGCTCGCATACATGTACTTGCTACACTGTGTATCGAGAATGCGGGGGGATTTGACATCAAGGAAACAAACAATGATGTACACATTAACAGTACAATATTTCATTTTCCTAAGCCCACTTTAATTTATTAATTCTACATTTATAAATAAAATAAAAATGTCTTGTTTTATTGTGGAAAGTTACATTGCAGCTATTGCAGAAAAAAGTACATAACCCGGCGATTAACCCGCTAACGCAAGTTATACATTTCCCCCCCCCCCCCCCCCCTGCAACATAATTCCAGTACGACCACTACAAACAACAACAAAAAAGCGTTTTATTGTCCCCAGGTTTTAAAAAAAAGTTGGGGATATTAATTACTGCCTCTGAGCTTTTGCAATGAAAGTTAAACCACATGCAGGTCCCTTACTCCTACAAGTAAGAGCCTCGGTTAACGTCCCTACGCTCCTTATATACGTTACGCGGCGCCAAGTTAAAAGTATCTCGCCGTGAACCTCTAGCATGCTGGAGTAGCAGGTCCCTATATAGACTGTTCTCAAATATTATTTATATATTCATTGACCTGAGGTCAAGCTCTTGAAAACGAGGCTAGGCCAGGCCAACGTCAGCATTAAAGGTACTTGGACACAGATTTGAAGTTCATCTTTTCTGTATAATATCACGAATTATATATTTTTTTAATAGCATTTCACACAAAAATTAATTAAAAATCTTATTTTATTTAAAAGTTATTAAAACTTTAATTTTTTGGGCGGGTTTGATTGACACACCCTTGCACTTTCACAAATTTTAACTTTACTCTTAATCCTTAATACCTATACCAACGTATTTACTTAATGACAATGACATTAAATAAACATCACAAGGGGAAAATATAGATGTTGTGCCGGGATTTGGTAATGAAATACTGGTACAAACACACCCTCACACAGAGGCACACTCACAACAAAATCTCATTTTAGTTTGATATATATCAACTCCAAAATGTTCTTTAACCCAATTCAATACATTTCCCGAAATCTCTTCAAAAAGCTCGAATTCCAAAAAAGCGTGACAAAGTGTCTTTTGTTGTGCTTTACAAAACCTGTTAATAGTTTTGAGATATTTTCCAGCAAAATTCATCAATTTTTTTGTTTTAGATACTCCAATTTAATATCATTTAGTATTTTTTCTCGTCTTTCTGAATAGTTAAAGCATTATAGAAATCTTTTGTTTCTTGTTTGATTTTTGTTAAAATTGGTAACAATGTTGGAAAACATAGGTTGATTTCCTTGAATTATCTTATCATCCTTGAACAAATCAACATTTATGATATGAAAAATACTATGAATTTCCTCATTTAAGATATTTTAATTAATTTCACAATTTAATATTCACAAACTGTAGTGTGTGTATAGCAAAGATCTGCCAAGTTCCGAAATAGTGTAAACAGTCATATCGTCATTCTGTATTGGAGTTACCCGTGAGGATACGCATTATGGAGGAATCTGTCTGCACTCCCTTGATGAACTCGGACATAGACAAATTTCCATCTTGATTTTTGTCCAGTCTCAGAAAGATTTCCCTTGTTTTTTCTTCCGGTGAAAGATCCATGGTTTTATTGCTGTTTGTCATCTTGTTCATTGCCTACAATTTATTACATATTCAAAAATTATATAACTAGCAATTTATACAGTCAATTTGCATAATTTTAATTTTAAAGATATTTTTCTCTCCAGTGGTAGGATATCGACTCGCAGTGAACGATTTTAGAAACGTTTAGAATCTTACATTGATGAAAGGTTCCTACCAATCCTATTTTTTAGTTAGAAAGGTGTCATCTTTAACAACAAAGACTAAAACACAAATAAGTAATTTGAGTTACAGGTTTTAAATAAAATCTACCAGGAGATATAAAGTAATTATAAGGGTGGGGGTGGGGTTCTAGGTGGAATTACCCCTCTCCGACATACGGTGCTATTCTGAATCAGAACAACAGCGTAAACACAACTTTGAACTTTGTATTCTTTCCATTCAAATAATAGTACAGAGAAATAATTTAACCTTGGTGCATAAAAGATTCAGAATTAATTTTTAACTTGATTTTCTATTCAAGTATCGGTAAACCCGATCAACGAGGCTACTGGCTACCAGATTGGACATACGAGATACATACATGTATATCACATGGGTAATCAACACCTTACACTGGTATACTTACTGATTACCTACTGATAAAATACATATAACACATCATATTATGTCTGATATACTTGTAAAAAGTTTAAATTCTCTAGATAAGCATCGCAATTAATGGAAAGGTAGATTACACCTGTATCCTACCTTTAAGATTTCCGTCATTTCATTTTCAGTGATGAATCCATCCCTATCCAAGTCGTAGATCTTAAAAGCCATTTTTGCTCTGTTTTCCACGGTTCCTCTTGAACCCACACTTAGAGCACACATAAATTCTCGAAAATCTAAAGTCCCATCTCGGTTTTCATCAAAAGCTCGAAAGACGTGTTCGGCGAATTTTTCTGCGTTCCCTTTTGGAAAAAGACCTCTGTATAATTTACGAAACTCCTCTATGGACAATTCCCCGCTTGGACATTCTAGTCTAAATCCCTTGTACCATTCTAGGATTTCGGCGTTACTGAATTTTGTCTGTGTCTTAAGATCCTCCAAGGTTTCTGGTCTTAGTGTACTACTTTTCTTACCCATTTCCCTAAAAATTAACATAGACAAGCTTATATAATCCCTTTTTTCACCTTTCCATTATTAGTTGAACATTCGTCTGCATCTTCAAAAACTTTAAAATTAAAACCAAAATCCTGATAGTCAATTTTTACCCACCGTTTAATTTCTCCCAATGGAACCAGCAGCTATTCCCTATTATAGCGTTTATAGACTTTTATATATTCCTGCCCTCGCCCCCTCTTTATAATACCGGGGTGTATTTGATATTCCGTATCCCCTTTCCACACTTTTCTCTCTTTTTTGAAATGTGATATGAGGTAACATGAAACATGAACATGTATGCTTTTGCAGCTTTCCATATCAAGCTACATTAATTTAAAAAAGAATATCAGATTAAGCAGTCCATCTCCTATTGTATATGATGTCTCTGATCGTTCTTTTTGTAATTTTTTTGTACAATTCATTTAAAAGATCGTCCTATTAGTTACATTATGTTTAGTAATTAATCATCAAAGGTAAATGAAATATATGGAGATAACGAACAGTACTCAAGATCAAAAGTCCATAAAACAATACAAAATAGCAGCAGAGCAAATACGGATCTCCAAAACATCAGAGGTGGGATCAGGTGCCATGAAGGAGTCAGCAATTCCTGCCGACCGGTCACACCGCAGTGTGTTCCTTGTCATGATCGGGAAATAACGGAAAAATCTATCGTCTATGCGGTGTATAAATAATGAACTAACAAACTCATATGAAAAACATCATTCAGCATTTAACTTAATGATAAATTGTTTTTGCTGACAAGGTAAATGTATCGACCATAGAACGTGCAAAATGATGACTTTAAACGAGGATGTTGATATTTTTGTTTCATCAACTTGTTTGTCAATAATTTACCTCGTTATAAAAATTTTAGAGCATGCTCTTGCGTATCGAATCAACAGAGTAATATCTGTTTTGCAGGTGATAAGGTATATTCCTGCATAAGTAAGGGAAGTTGACGGTAGAAAAGTTAGAGTCATCGTGTTTATCAAAGAGCTTGGTTGTTTGATAACCATTAACGTCTTTTTCATGTAAAATATCCAAATTTGAAACAGATGTGTCAGACTCTGTGGTATCTTTTATCTCCAGCTCACCAGGATATATCGTATCGACATAAGAATGGAAATTACCATTGCTTATTGCCAATACATCGTCGATATATCTAAATGTCGAGTTGAAGACCACGACAATTGTTTTTTTCTTTCCACGCATTTGGACAAATTCTGCTTCATATGAATACAAAAACAGGTCTGCTATTAAAGGGGCGCAATTGGTACCCATGGGAATTCTAATAGATTGTTGGAAGACCTGGTCTCCAAAAACAACATAGATATTGTCAATCAGAAACTCAAGCATCATTTTGATGTCAACTTGAGAGTACCTGTGTGCACAATCAGAATTATTTTTAACAAAGTAATTTTGCAAACGACCAATGACAAGGTAAGTAAATTTACGAGTTCCATTTTATTGAAAAAGTAGTTGTCACTGGTATTCAGTGTGCCTCCAAATGATTAAGTAGGGAAAAATCAAAGCGTTAATGAATGCGTTTTTGTTATATGAATTATGTGCCCTAATGTTATCCAGACCCCCAGGCCACGGGTAATAAATTTAAAATTTTTAAAGGCTTCCTTCCTCATCATACATAACCTTATATTTAGTTTGTCTACTAAATAAATACTCATTCAAACAAAGATTTTCAAAGAATTAATTCATTTTGACAAATGATAGAGCCCAAAAACCAGAACCTCGGTCCAAGAGGCCATGAAATTTGCTTTTCAACTTACAAGATTTTGAACTTGTTGCCAGTGGTTTTTACATATTTTCTACTTCTCGATAAAAAAATTCTTGTATGCCTCGTCCCACTACATTTGTATATGTACAGCATACATTTGTATACTAGTATATATAGAGTAGAATATATTTTTAGTTCGTTCTAGAAAAAGTTTAATACTGAGAGAGGTCATGTGTAATTTGATACTAGTATATTGTTCTGTAATCAGAGACTGGGATTTAATAGTAAAACTTACTTGAGAACTTAAAACTGTGTGACTTCGCGTTACGGGTACTTTGAATTTACTCGAGATAGCATATGTTCATCCCAAGGGTCGTATATAATTATTATTTCGTGATAATAAATTGAGATAGGAAGTAGGTTTTCTACCTACATAGTTGAAATGTTGACATTCTCTCTTTCCCAGCATCATATCATAGTAATGTACCAGTGAATGATATAGAGTGGGCAGGGACCTGTCTTCCCTCTTGTAGATGTACATGTAGTTTTTCCCCTTTACGGGTATGCATGCATACCGGTATATAAAAATTATGCGAAAAATATCCAAACTTTTTTTCTCTCTTGAATAAAACATGTGGACATGTGGACAGAAGGCAACTCGAAATTCAATGTATCATAATGCACTGAGATGAGTACCATTTAGAAGGGGGAAAAACAGCAAGAGACCCACACCTTACAATACTATTAAGCTTTTTCTTCTGTGGCCAGAGGAAATAAGTCTACGTTAACATTTTGAACATAAATGGTATAGGACAAATTATCTTTTTGCATTTTCAGTGTAAAACTACATATACTATAAAGAAGAGGTAAGATTTATAGTGAATTAAGCTTAGTGTTGGTAGACATTTTAAGTACAAAATGTATTGACTAGAAAGATCAACGTCACGAATGAAAAAATAGAAATTGTCAAATACATATTCGAAAATGTCATCCTGTATTTGAAGCGGAAGTAAGAATGTGCATTATAGATAAATCGGTCTGCACCCCCTTAACAAATTCCGACATGGACAGATTTCCATCTTGGTTTTTGTCCATTCTGAGAAAGATTTCCCTTGTTTTCTCCTCGGGGGACAGACCCATGTTGTTCTCTCTTGTCATCTTGTTCATTGCCTACAAAAGTTTGATGCTTCAATCTTACACAGTACTATGTATTTCATGAAAAATAAATGTATAGTCTAACTGTCTTTCAATGTAAACGTACAGTGAGTTTAAACAAACGAACATAATAACTTTAAATAAGAACGTACCCTCAATATTTCTGTCATTTCACTTTCAGTGATGAACCCATCTCTATCCAAGTCGTAGATCTTAAATGCCAACTTTGATTCCCCATTGTGGCCCCGCCCTATCTCCGGGGGTCATGATTAGAACAATTTAGAATCTACACTACCCCAGGATGCTTCCACATAAGTTTCAGCTTTTCTGGCCCAGTGGTTCTTGAGAAGAAGATTTTTAAAGATTTGTTCTATATATTTTTATATAAAACTTTGATTCCCCATTGTGGCCCCGCCCAACCCCTGGGGGTCATGATTTGAATAATTTAAAATCTACACTATCCCAGGATGCTTCCACATAAGTTTCAGCTTTTCTGGCCCAGTGGTTCTTGAGAAGAAGATTTTTAAAGACTTTTCCTATATATTTCTATGTTAAACTTTGATTTCCCATTGTGGCCCCGCCCTATCCATATTTAAATGATTTGAACAATTTAAAATCTACAATATCCCAGGATGCTTCCACATAAGTTTCAGCTTTTCTGGCCCAGTGGTTCTTGAGAAGAAGATTTTTTAATGACCCACCCTATTTTTTTCTTTTCTTGATTATCTCCCCTTGTGAGGGGACTTGGCCCTTCATTTGAACAATTTAAATTTCCCTTCACCCAAGGATGCTTTGTACCAAGTTTGGTCAAAATTGGCCCAGTGGTTCTTGAGAAGAACTCGAAAATGTGAAAAGTTTACAGACGGACAGCTAGACGGACGGACGACGGACAAAATGTGATCAGAAAAGCTCACTTGAGCCTTCGGCTCAGGTACATTGTAAGCTAAAAACGATTAGATGTTTACCAAAATTTTAGCATGACAAATATTGTCTTACATATACTAATATTCTGTGTAGTTGTCTATTTTTAACATATTTAAGGAAGTTCTAAACATTGCACACAAAAGAGTTCATTTCATGTTGATTTTATGCAGCTGGGATGATCTGCCCTTTGATATTATTATTGACAGAATTTGAAATAGACTTGAGTATTCATGAATAATATAATAAAACGATCAATATGAACAAAGCAAAAAGAAAAAAGATGTAATTTTACATTTTTTGAAATATTAACCCATTCATGATCAACACAACGTATTTAACAAATATCTTTTATTTTGTATTTTTAAAGCTAAAACCAAAATCCTAATAGACAATTTTAACCTACCGTGTAATTTCTCTCAGTGGAACCAGCAGCTATTCCCTATTGTAGCGTTTATAGACTTTTATATATTCCTGCCCTCGCTCCCTCTTTATAATATTCGATATTCCGTATCCCCTTTCCACACTTTTCTCTCTTTTTAAAATGTGATATGAGGTAACATGAAACATGAACATGCATGCTTTTGCAGCTTTCCATATCAAGCTGTATTATTTTTTTTTTAATTATAAGATTAAGCAGTCCATCTCCTTTTGTACATGATGTCTCCAATCGTTCTAACGGTTATTTATACTATAGGCATTGATTAAAAAAATTAATGAAGTTCTCTTTTGTAAAATTTTTGCACAATTGCTTTATAAGCTCGCCCTATTAGTTACATTATGTTTAGTAAATAATTATCAGAGGTAAATGAAATATATAGAGATAGCGAACAGTACTCAAGATCAAAAGTCCATAAAACAATACAAAGTAGGAGCAGAGCAAACACGGACCTCCAAAACACCAGAGGTGGGATCAGGTGCCATGAAGGAGTGAGCATCCCCTGCCGACCGGTAACACCCGCCGTGTGTTCCTTGTCATGATTGGGAAATAACGGAAAAATCCATCATCAATTCGGTGTATAAATAATGAACTAACAATTCGTATGAAAAATGTCAGTTGAGCATATAACTCAATGATAAATTGTTTTTGCTGACAAGGTCAATGTATCGACCATAGAACGTGCGAAATGATGACTTTAAACGAGACTGCTGATATTTTTGTTTCATCAACTTGTTTGTCAATATTTTACCTCGTCAATCTAATTAAAATCAGACTTCTTAGATCCGCGCCGTATACACTCTTACGCAGAGTGTATACGGCGCGGATCTAAGAAGTCTGATTTTAATTAGATTGTTTACCTCGTTTTATAAATGTTAGAGCATGCTCTTACGTATCGAATCAACTGAGTAATATCCGTTTTGCAGGTGATGAAGGTATATTGCTGCATAAGCAAGGGAAGTTGACGGTAGAAAAATTAAAGTCATCGTGTTTATCATAGAGCTTGGTTGTTTGATAACCATTAACGTCTTTTTAATGTAAAATATCCAAATTTGAAACAGATGTGTCAGACTCTGTGGTATGTTTTTGTCCAGCTCACCAGCATATATCGTATCGACATAAGAATGGAAATTACCATTGTTTATTGACAATACATCGTCGATATATCTAAATGTCGAGTTGAAGGCCACGACAAGTGTTTTCTTTTCACGCATAAGATTTTGGACAAATTCTGCTGCATATAAATACAAAAATAGGTCTGCTAATAACGGGGTGCAAATGGTACCCATGGGAATTCCAATAGATTGTTGGAAGACCTGGTCTTCAAAAACAACATAGAAATTGTCAATCAGAAACTCAAGCATCATTTTGATGTCAACTTGAGAGTACCCGTGTGTACAATCAGAATTATTTTTCACAAAGTAATTTTGCAAACGACCAATGACAAGGTAAGTAAATTTACGAGTTCCATTTTATTGAAAAAGCAGCTGTCAGTTATATCAAAAAGCCAGGACTTTAATTTATCATGGGGATTGTTGAGTTTGTCTGTATGTTGTTTAATGTCCCTCTCGAGAATTTTTCACTCATATTGACCCAGTGGCCAAAAAGTCAAATTTCGCAGTTCTGGCACTCAGTGTGCCTCGAAATGATTAAGTAGGGAAAAAGTCAAAACGTTATTTAATGCATTTTTATTATATGAATTATGAGTCCTAATGTTATCCAGACCCCCAGGCCACGGGTAATAACTTTTAAATTTTTTGAAGACATCCAGGCTCATCATAACCTTACACTTAGTTTGTCTACTAAATAAATACTCATTTAAACAAAGATTTTCAAAGAATTAATGTATTTTCACAAATGATAGAGCCCTAAAACAAGAACCTCGGTCCAAGAGGCCATGGAATTTGCTTTAATACTGAGAGGTCATGAGTAATTTAATACCAGTACATTGTTCTGTAATCAGAGACTAGGCTTTAATAGTAAAACTTACTTGAGAACTTATAACTGTGTGAATTCGCGTTACAGGTACATGTACATGTGCTTTGAATTTACAAGAGATAGCGTATGTTCATCCCAAAGGTCGTATATAATTATTATTTCGTGATAATAAATTGAGATAGTAAGTCTACCTATATAGTTGAAGATTTGACATTCTCTCTTTCCCAACATCATACCATAGTACCAGTAAATGATATTATAGTGGGCAGGGATCTGTCCTCTCTCTTGTAGATGTACATGTAGTTTTTCCCCCTAACGGGTATGCATGTGTACCGGTATTTAAAAATTAAGCAAAAAATATCCAAACTTTTTTTTTCTCTTGAATAAAACATAAGGACAGAAGGCAAATAATTCAACTTGAAATTCACTGTACCATAATGCACTGAGATGAGTACCATTTAGAGGAAAAACCGCAAGAGATCCATACCTTACAATACTATGAAGTTTTCTGGTCTTTGGCCAGAGGAAATAAGTCGACGTTAACATTTTGAATATAAATGGTATAGGGCAAATTATCTTTTTGCATTTTCAGCGTAAAACTACATATACGAGTACTACGAAGAAGAGGTAAGATTTAGAGTGAATTTAAGCCTAGTGTTGGTAGACATTTTAAGTACAAAATGTATTGACTAGAAAGATCAACGTCACAAATGAAACATTAGAAATTGTCAAATGCATATTCGAAACTGTCATCCTGTATTTGAAGCGGAAGTGAGAATGTGCATTATAGATGAATCGGTCTGCACCCCCTTAACGAATTCCGACATGGACAGGCTTCCATCTTGGTTTTTGTCCATTCTGAGAAAGATTTCCCTTGTTTTCTCCTCGGGGGACAGACCCATGTTGTTCTCGCTTGTCATCTTGTTCATTGCCTACAAAAGTTTGATGCTTCAATCTTACACAGTACTATGTATTTCATGACAAATAAACAGTCTTTCAATATAAACATACAGTGAATTTTTTAAAAAGACATTATGAATTTAAAACTAGAACGTACCCTCAATATTTCAGTCATTTCACTTTCAGTGATGAACCCATCTCTATCCAAGTCGTAGATCTTAAATGCCATCATCGCTTTAGATTCTACTGTGCCTCTTGAACTCACACTAAGAGCACACATAAATTCTCGAAAATCCAAGATTCCGTCTCGATTTTCATCGAAGGCTCGAAAGACGTGTTCGGCGAATTTTTCTGCATTACCGGTTGGGAAAAGACCCCGGTAAATGTTTCGGAACTCCTCTATAGACAATTCTTCGTTTGGACATTCGAATTTAAACCCCTTATACCATTCTAATATTTCTGCATCACTAAATTTGGTCTGTGATTTTAGATCCTCCAGTGTGTCTGGTCTTAGCTTGCTGCTCTTTTTACCCATCTGTCAGTGATAAGCCTATAATATTATAGCAAACAGATAGCTTCAGTCTTATAGTTTACATTATTTAATCAAACGGAGAAAAAATAAACATACAGAGAAGGAAGTTGTAGGGAAGTAATAAATGCCCGTAGGAAGCAATGTCACCATTGGGGGAGGGGGTTGATACTTCCTTAACGTGCAAAAAACGGCGTCAGACATTATTATTGAGGTGGGTACAAGAAACAAGCTCCTAAAGTATATTCAAATCGACACCATTGCAGTTTCTATGGCCATTTAATAACGGGAAAAACAAGGTTGAGACAAAGTTAACAGACGAAAATGAAATATATGGAGTTAATGAACAGTATTCAAGCTCAAAAGCCCATTAAACAATAAAAAAAAAATTGAGCAGAGCAAACACGACCTTCAAAACATCAGATAGGGATCATGTGCCATGGAGGAGTGAGCATCCCCTGCTGACCGGTCACACCCGCCGCGTGCTCCTAGACATGATCGAGAAAGATCGAAAAAATCAGTCAACAATTCAATGTGTTAAAATGGCCTCACAATTAGAATGAAAAACTTCAGTCAGCATTTGACTTAATGATAAATTGTATTTCATGACAAGGTCATTGGTTTAAATATAGAACTTACGAAATAACGACTTTAAAGGAGACTGCTGATATTCTTGTTTCATCAACTTGTTTGACAATAATTTACCTCGTTTGAGGAATTGTTCATACGTAGAACATGCTCTTGAATCTATTCCAAAAGGATCCCTTAGAAGAGAAGTGAATAAAGCAAGTTGATAATGTCGAAGGTACAGAGTATAGAGACCGACATTCACGTACAGGAAGCATAAGAAAAAATTTCATAAAAATCATATAAGTGGTTATAAAGTATATAAGTACCAAAAATAAGAAGATTTAAAGACGATAATTAGTATGACTAGAGAGAGATTTCAAGAAAAATATGTTCTTGTGTTTGTAAACAGCTGGCACTAACAGGTTTAAATGATTTTCATGATAATGCATGATAATATAAAAGAATTTAACCGGCTTAATGCATGAAATCTGAGGCATGGGTGTTGTTATGATCGAAGAAACCCAAAAATCACTTATTGAGGGGTTACTTGGTAAGAAGAGAATGGGCAGGCGAAATACATTATACCAAGCCCGGAGTTACCCAGTTATCAACTTATAACCCCCCCCCCTCTCAGTAGTAATTTCACATTATCTTAATGTTAATAAAACCCCAGTCAGTATTCAACTTATAACCCCCTCTTTTAGTATCAATATCATATTATCTAAATAAAAATCCATTTACAAGTAGGTTAGATGAAAATCAATTACTGGGTCATAAACTCGGGTAGTGCAAATAAAAACATATCCCCTGAGAACCCCACTTAGGGACAGAGACAGACAGAAGTACGGTTCCTTAGGATGTGATCCCTGTTCTTAATATTAGTTAAATACGAAAACATGAACTTTACCTACCTAATAAAATTTTCTAATTTGTCTCACAGAATTCCTGTGTTTTGTCTCATCGCTCGGTGCTTGTTCTTGCATGCCATGTGTAGTTACGGATTCCGGCGCGTTGCGATCATGATGATGCTAAAACACAATATACTTCATGTATAATTTACGGAAATTAAAACTCCTCGATTTCGAGACGTATTGTGTGGTGGTTTGCAAAAACAGAATCGATGTGAAACCCATATTTCATTTGTTTTTTTATTTATTTCATTTTTTCATAGAAACAAAATTAGCAAAATATTTTGCATTTTAATAGTGTGATATTGATACCAATGGGAGAACTTTCGATGCTGTGAAATCTACCGAGCGTTTCTTTGGTTCCGTTATATAAAGAGGGCGACCCATTATTTAGTATCTGATCAGTCGGAGCAAAATAAATCATTGAACCATGCATCGATGAATTCTCTTTTTTGAATGCCTATTTTACTGCTTTATAAGTGAATTGACCCCCCCCCCCTCCTTAGGTTACTTGAGTAAACTTTGCACTATCCGTTTTCGTCCGTCGTGCGTTAACATTTTAACATTTTCAGCTTCTTCTCTGAAACCACTGAACCAATTTCAACAAATTTTTACAAATGGCATCTATGGGTGAAGGGGAACAAAAATTGTGAATTTCATGGTCCCTGCCCCCCTGGGGCCTGGGTGGGGCCAAAGCCACTGAAATTAGTGCAATCTTTAACAAGCAAATTCAAAGAATTGTGGTCCCCCGCTTTCAGTATCTTTGTGGATGAGATGTCATTTTTTATGACACATTGTGTCTAATATGAACACCCTATCATATGTCATTTATTTAGAAATTATCACTGAAGTTGATTTTTTTAAAAAAATAAGGTCAATTGTGAAGATCAAGGTCAAGGGGTAAGAATTCATAGCATGCTCGGAAATATCTTGTCACAGGTAATGCACATGTCAAATATGAAAGTCCTATCTCTTCTCAATATAAGGAACAAGATGTGTCAAATTGTGAAACACAGATGACCTCGTATGGCAACATAACAAAGATTTAACATTTCTTAATTCAAATGAAATATATTTGATATTACCCAAAGTAAGGTTTTCAGACAAGAAATACGATTGTGAAATAAAAAATCCCACCCCCTGTTCAAAAGAAAGTTATGGCCAAGGATACATTTTTGAAAGGTAGGTCAAACTCCAAGGTGAAAGGATCTGAGTTGTTGATTTCTTTAAAAAGGTCACAAGTAATACATATGTGAAGGATGAAAACCCTAACCTTAACCGTTCAATAGTTATGGCCAAGGTAAAAGTTTTGGAAAAGTAAGTCAATCTCCAAGGTCAAGGTCAAAGGGTCGAAGTTCTTGGTATCCAATGAAAGATCTTCTCATAAGGATTATATATGTGAAGTACAAAAGCCTTAGCCCTTACCGTTCAAATGTTATGGTCGAGGTTAAACTTTTTTTTTAAAAGTACGGAAATCTCCAAGGTCAAAGTCAAAAGGTCAAAGTTGTTGGTATCCAATGAAAGGTCTTGCGACAAAAAATACATATGTGAAATATGTAAGTCCTAGTTTCTACCATTCAAAAGATATGGTCAAGGTTAAAGTTTTTTCAAAAGGTCAAAAAAGTCAAAGTTGTTGGTATCCAATGAAAGGTCTTGCGACAAAAAATACATATGTGCGAAAATATGAAGTCCTACATGTAGTATCTACCGTTCAAAAGTTGTGGCCATGGTCAAAGTTTTTGAAAATTAGGTCAATCTCCATGGTCAAGGTCAAAGGGTCAAAGTTCTTGGTATCCAATGAAAGGTCTTTTCACAAGGATTACATATGTGAAGTACGATAGCCCTAGCCCTTTCCGTTCAAAAGTTATGGTCAAGGTAAAAGTTTTTTCATAGGTCTCTAAGGTCAAGGTTAAAAGGTCAAAATTGTTGGTATCCAATGAAAGGCCTTGACACAAAAAATGCATATGTGAAATATGAAATTCCTAGTTTCTACTATTCAAAAGATATGGCCAAAGTAAAAGTTTGGATTTTTTGTGTAAAAGTGGGTCAAATTCCAAGGTCTAGGTCAAAAGGTCAAATATGGTGGTACCCAAAGAAAGGTCTTCTCACAAGGGACACACAAGTGAAATATGAAAGTCATAGCTCCACTAAATCAAAAATAATGGGCAAGGTTAAAGTTTTTGTGACGGACGGACAGACGAATGAGATTTAATGTCCCCTCGCTTTCGCTAAAGCGGGGGACAATAAAGAAGGCAATAAATTGTTATTTTATTCATTATGGTTTTATTTTGATCGGGATTGGTCCAAAATGAATTTTTTTTTTCAATTTGCCATTTCATTTCAATTTCTTGCCAAAAAGACTGAGACTAGTCAAAATTCACATATACTTTGATCATTAGTAAACTTTAAGTGAATCATCGTGCATACGTACAGATATTTCTCCATCAGATAATAAAGGCTTGTCATAATTTTTAATTCTTATACCACCAACCTTTCACTTGCTATTTGACTTCAAATTAAAGTCATGACACTCCTTAGGTTCATAAACAGTACCTGTATCAGGTTCCAATGAGCAATCTTTGTATCAAGTACGAGCTCCTAGTATTTCTACATTGTTAAGTTAAAGTCTTAAAAAAATAATTTTACACTATTCTGCCTGTAACTTTGAACTTGCTGCATTGACACTGGATTAAAATAAGAACTTTCCTTATTTCAAAAACAATACCTGTACCAATTCTTTTCCAAATAAAGTTTTAGCCGAGACATTTTTTTTCTTTTTTCTACCAGTGACCTTGAAATCGCCAAAATGACCTTGGATAAAGGTCAAGGCATATTCTTTGATCATAAGCAATATCTGTACCGAGTATGAGCTTCCACTGACTCTCCATTACAAAGTCAAGTTATGTCATACCTTTTTTCTACTAGTAACCTTGAACTAAATGGAATGACTGGATAAGATCATGACACATTTTTGGGTCATAAGCAATCCCTGTACCAGGTTTGAGCTTCCAGTGATTCTTTCTACAAAGTTATGACCCAGACAAAAATTTCATACTTTTAGGCCAGTGACCTTGAACTTGCAGGAATGACCTTGTGTCAGATCAGGACTCACTGTCGGGTCATTACAAGCAAGCTCTATAACAAGTATAAGCTTCCAATGTTTCCATATATCAAAGTTAGAGCCTAGACAAAATTACATTCACAGACAATGTGATTCCTATATATCCCTAAAACTTCCTTTGTTTGGGGTAAAAAGAGAAGTTTCATTACAAGGAATATACATTTGAAATATGAAAGCCCTAGCACTAATCATTCACATCATTTTGTTTTACCAAAGTAGGTCAAAGTCTAACTTAAAGGTTAAAAAAAGTTCAAAAGGAATGGCCATGGGTAGTAAAAATTAGTAAATTTGGAGACACATAAACAGACAGACAGTTTATCAAAATATGCCCCCAAATCTTCAATTATAGAGGTGGAATAAAAACTCAACAAGTTTAATTCCATGACAAACAGACTGTATAATAGTGTATTTTAATATATATGATAAATTCAAACTGACATAAATTAATCATGTATCACAAGGGACAAACACAGTTTTTACAATTACATGTACATCAGTTATGCTTTTCAAGAAAAATTGAAAAAATATGAAACATCTAGAAAATCTCTTATACTGAAGCTTGTACTGGTTTGTACTGTAGCAAAGGAACATTAAAAACTTGGGAATTTATTGAAGGAACAAAGCAATAAATAAAAATGATCCTTGATAAATCTCTTTATATTCTTAGTGTAGTCTACTTGTGTGCCAAGTTATATTGAAATCAGACCAGTAGGAGGAGTAGCACAAGAAAATTCTAGTAACTTTTACAATCAAAAACCGATATAGAAAATGTATTTTATATTGAAAAAGGACCTTTCCCATTTTGAAAGAAATTTCACAGAAATTTCTATTTTTAGACCATTTACAAAATCAAAAACCGATACACAGAATTATGTATCTTAGTGTAGTCTACTTGTGTGCCAAGTTATATTGAAATCAGACCAAAACTGTAGGAGGAGTAGCATTTTGAAAGAAATTTCACAGAAATTTCTATTTTTAGTTACCACGGCAACACCGTTTACCAAAATCAAAAACCGATATACAGAATTATGTATCTCAGTGTAGTCTACTTGTGTGCCAAGTTATATTGAAATCAGACCAAAATTGTAGGAGGAGTAGCATTTTGAAAGAATTTCACAGCAATTTCTATTTTTAGTAACCACGGCAACACCGTTAATCGAAATCAAAAACCGATACCCAGAATTATGTATCTTAGTGTAATCTACTTGTTTGCCAAGTTATATTGAAATGAAGGAATAGCATTTTGAAAGAATTTTACACAGAAAATTCTATTTTTAGTAACCACGGCAACACAGTTTATCGAAATCAAAAACCGATATAGAGAATTATGTATCACAGAAAATCTATAAAAGAATTTAGATGTGCCAATTTATATTGAAATTTATCAAGCAAAATGTAGGAGGATAATTTTGAAAAATTTTCTAGCAATTTTCAAACTAAACAGAACATCATCATTGAGATGGTGGCCACCCATGACATAAAAATGTATAAGCTTTCTGGTCTCTGACCAGTAGAGCTAAAAATATGAAACATCTAGAAAATCTTCATATACTACTTTTCTATGAAGTAAAACATGCTTATAGAACTTGACAAGGAAAAATATTTCATAAAAAACTTAAATTACTTAGAACCTTAGTAACAACTAAAAGAAGGAAAAAGTGTTGCATACAAAGATAAAACTAAATTAGATAAGCAAGAAGCCCATAGGCCACATCACTCACCTGAGTAACTTTGGCCATTATGTTATTAAACAGATTTCCCCCTAATACCTATCTTGACCTTTCCCAATCCCCAGGGGTCATGATCCAAGCAATTTAGAATCTACACTAGTAACACTACCCCAGGATGCTTCCACAGAAGTTTAGCTTTTCTGGCCCAGTGGTTCTTGAGAAGATTTTTTTATGACCCCACCCTATTTTTGTATATTCTTGACAATTTCCCCTCGGAAAGGGGACTTTATTTTTATAATTTAAACTCCCACTACCCAAGGATGTTTTGTACTAAGTTTGGTCAAAATTGGCCCAATGGTTCTCAAGAATAAGCTGAAAATGTGAAAAGTTTACAGATGAATGGACAGTCAGACGGATGGACGACGGACAACAGGTGATCAGAAAATCTCATATGAGCTAAAAACTGCAAGGCCTGCTATGTAAATCAAAGGAGAGAAAATATAAAAGAATTTAGATTTTGCATATTGTTATATTTATTTATAATCTAAAACACTAAAAAATAATAATGTTACAATGAGATCACTTTATCTTTTCTAGCAATTTTCAAACTAAAATTAGATATCATTGAGATGGTGGCCATCTCAAAGGGTCCCACTTTCAGCAATGAACATAAAAATGTAAAGTAGCTGAAAGGGGTTTTAACCTTCACTCTTGGCCTAGAAACTTTGTTCAAGGTCACTACACATCCATTGACCAGTGGCACTCTGTGAGAGAAGTATTAGCCACATTGAACCAAGGGGAGAAAGCATATGCTCTGGACAAGGATTCACAATAAACAAGAGGCCCAGGGGCCACAGCGCTCACTCACCTGAGCACATCGGGCACAGAATTTAACCTTCCAGGCATTCATCATGTTGAAAAACTAGAATCTACACTTTTTTAGATTCCAAAAAATACTAATCATATTTTTGAAGTACTTTTTTAAAAAAAATACTATATATCCCTATGTAAAACTTGTGTGGCCATTTTGGCCCCACCCTAGTTGGGGGTCATGATCTGAACAAACTTGAATCTACAGACCTGAGGATGAATCCTTAATGAGTTTCATCTTTCCTTGTAGCCCATGGTTCTTGAAAGAATTTTTAAAGATTTTTCCTATATATTTTTTGGCAATTTTGGAAATCAAAAACCTAGCCCCGGGAGTCATGATTTGAAGAGATTTGAATCTACACTACCTGAGGATGATTCCATTTGAGTTTCACAGTTTCTTTCCATGGCCCAGTGGTTTTTAAGAAGAAGATTTTTAAAGATTTTTCCTATATATTCCTATGTAAAAATTGGGTCGGCCATTTTGGCCCCGCCCTAGCCCCGGGGGTCATGATTTGAACAAACTTGAATCTACACTACCTGAGAATGATTCCACAAGTTTCATCTTTCCTGGCCCAGTGGTTTTTAAGAAAAGATTTTTTAAGATTTTTCCTATATATTCCTATGTAAAACTTGGGTGGCCATTAGTCCCTTTGTCATGATTTGAACAAACTTGAATCTACACTACCTGAGGATGATTCCATTTGAGTTTCCTTTCCTGGCCCAGTGGTTTTTAAGAAGAAGATTTTTAAAGATTTTTCCTATATATTCCTATGTAAAACTTGGGTCGGCCATTTTGGCCCCGCCCTAGCCCCCCGGGGTCATGATTTGAAGAGATTTGAATCTACACTACCTGAGGATGATTCCATATGAGTTTCGTCTTTCCTGGCCCAGTGGTTTTTAAGAAGAAGATTTTTAAAGATTTTTCCTATATATTCCTATGTAAAACTTGGGTCGGCCATTTTGGCCCCGCCCTATGGGGGTCATGATTTGAACAAACTTGAATCTACACTACCTGAGAATGATTCCACATGAGTTTCATTTTTCCTGGCCCAGTGGTTTTTAAGAAGAAGATTTTTAAAGATTTTTCCTATATATTCCTATGTAAAACTTGGGTCGGCCATTTTGGCCCCACAGCCCCGGGGGTCATGAATAAGAATTTGAATCTACAAGGAATTCCATAATCATCTTTCCTAGCCCAGTGGTTCTTGAGAAGAAGATTTTTAAAGATTTTTCCTACATATTCCTATGTAAAACTTGGGTCGGCCATTTTGGCCCCACCCTAGCCCCGGGGGTCATGATTTGACCAAACTTGAATCTACACTAACTGAGGATGATTCCACATGAGTTTCATCTTTCCTGGCCCAGTGGTTCTTGAGAAGAAGATTTTTCCTATATACTCCTATGTAAAACTTTGGTCGGCCATTTTGGCCCCACCCTAGCCCCGGGGGTCATGATTTGAAAAAACTTGAATCTACACTACCTAACAATGATTCCACATGAGTTTGGTCTTTCCTGGCCCAGTGCTTCTTGAGAAGAGGATTTTTAAAAAATGCCATTCATTTTTCTCTTATTCATAATTATCCCCCCTTGGAAATGGGCGTGGCCCTTCATTTGAACAAACTTGAATTCCCTTAACCCAAAAAACTTTGTGCACAAGTCCATTGAAATTGGCACTCTTGAGAAGAAGTGTAGCCACATTGGACCAACTTTGAGAAAGCATATGCTCAGGACAAGGATTCACAATAAAAAAAATTACCTCCCTTTCTCTTAAGCTTAGATATTCAGACAAGCACTGATTTACCTCTCTTGATATTTTTGCTTAAAAATCCAATCTTTAACTTTTTTAAATTAAAAAATATAATATACAGATACAAAAAAAAACATTCAGAAAAAATAACGTAGTATATGAAAAGTTGTACAATAATGTAGTAACACAACTTTGAGTGATCTGCTGTGGATGTCATATGATCATTTATCCTTAATGAGTTATGTACTCAGCATGGTACACTGAATCCTGAGAATTAAGCTGTTTACTGTGTCCATCACTTTGTAGATATTAGTACATACTCAACTCTGTCCATTGGATTCTGTGAGTTAAGCTATTTAGTGTGTCCATCACTTTGTAGATAACAATGTACTCAGCACGGTCCATTGAATTCTGTCAGTTAAGCTATTTAGTGTGTCCATCACTTTGTAGATATATAACAATGTTCTCAGCACGGTCCATTGAATTCTGTCAGTTAAGCTATTTAGTGTGCCCATCACTTTGTAGATATATAATAATGTACTCAGCACTATCCATTGAATTCTTTGAGTTGAGTTATTTAGTGTGTCCATCACTTGCAGTCCAAACCTTAAATTACTCTCTGCACTATTGTTGAAGCATATTTGTCTGCTATCAAAGAAACATGAAATTGATGGCAGTCTGCCTGTAAAAAAAGAAATCACAAGGACTCAACATAAATATTAATAAAATCTTAATAAATGAAAAATAGCTAACATATTTTTACAGAATAGAAGGATTTTGCAGAGCTTGTACATGTGTCTTACCTTTATTTTCAGGTCCCATAGTTGATCTCTTTGGAGTCTTGAGGAATCATGTTGATCTGCTTTTGGAAACAGGATCAATGCCAGCATAACCGCCTGCCTATTAACAAAAAGACACTAAGAATCCAAGCAATGAGAGAGTCAAAATCTCCTCTAATTCACATAATGCAAGGTCTAGAGCTTTACATGCATCTGATCTGACTAACCATCAATGTTTAGGTTAGACAGTAGTAAGTCCTTACTTTCCACATTCTTGTTAACTGATTGAGATCAGTCTCATCTTCTACTTGTTAACAAAGGAAATCCAAAGATAATGAAAAAAAAACATGAACAAAAATACATTGCGCCAAAATGTTCACCTGAGTCACCTTGACTTTGTCATCAAAAGAAAAATTCTTAATTCATATTTTTTTTACTAATCCTAGTCCAAAGGGATCATGATGTAACGTAATTTGAAACAACACATCCTCGGGATGCCCTATTGTTATTGCAACACAGTCTTGCTGTTGTGCAGCAGAAGTAAATCCCCCTGGACCTATGATTTGATAAGTGTATAAAGAAAATTTGTAAATTGCAAAAAATAAATCTTTTTACCCACTCCTTAATCAGATATTGGCTGCTGTACAAAGCTTGGCAATAGACTCTTCTTTTTCTTCACTTGGTCAGCACTGGTCCTCTTCCCTTGTCAAATTCCTTGAAAATACTTGATGGAGAGAAGATAAGCAATAATACAAAGCAATGTAATAATCACAGAAATTCAAATGAACATAATCATTACAACATTATTAGCTTGAAAATCAAAAAGCAAATAAAGACAATAAGGTTATGATAGCTAGGAATAAGGTGGAATATTGGGGCAAGGAGAGGAAAGCATAGTTACTTTAGAGTAGGGAGGACAAAGATATGTCAGAAATAATTAAATAAAAAATACTTGTAAGACTCCTGCCTGTTAAAGTGGGTCATGATGAAGTTCCATAGGTGAAAAAAGAAGTAAAGTCTGATTCTTACGAGTATTCTCCTCATGGCTGCAGCGGAATGGGAAAGGGACTCTTCCTCACTTAGAATTCCTGGTCAGTCTTAACTTTCTTCTGCTTAAAAAGATAAAACAGAGACATAAAAGGGGAAACACTTGCACTTCATACCAAGTGAGAAGCTTCAGTAAAAAGCAGCTTGTTGCTTACCACTTTTGAAACATAATACCTGCAAAACACAGACAGGAATAGACTCTTCTTATATTAATGACCTTGGTCCTCCATTGTTGTTCCTCTTCTGAATCAAAGGGGAACTGAAATCTGTCAATTGAAGGTCCAGATGTTAAAGCTTGGTACAGCCAACATCAATAGGCAAGCAAAGATACAAGAAGTAAAATCTGAATCTTACCCTGCTTTCTGCTGCTGTATGCAGTTCAATGAGAGAGGGAGTCCTCCTCACTTCAGGATCCTGTTCAGCCTTAAAAGTATTCCTCTTAAAAAGATAAAAATTAACAGACACCAAAAGGGGATCACTTGCACTTCATACCAAGTGAGAAGATTTCTAAAATAAACTAGTGGCCAATGGGCAATATGCTCACCTAAGCATATTGGCTAGTAAATGACAAATTAGTCCAGTATTGAAAAGTATAAAATTTAGGAAGAGGAGAAGGGGGCTTGAATAACTACCTGGAGACATTTTCATATCAATAACAATGGCTTAGCTGTTCTTGAACATAAAATTTTTTCCTATATATTCCTTTGTTAAAATTTTATCCCCATTGATGCCCCTCCCTGCCCCCTGGAATCAAGATTTGGACAAATTTGAATCTACACTACCTAAGGATGCTTCCATATCAATATGACTATATATGGCTTTGGTATTATTGAGAAGACGTTTCCTATATACTGTAAATCACTTAATTTTCGCGACACCTTATTTTCGCGAGATAGTCAATGACTCTTCATTAGCGAGACAAAATTTTCAAAATTGTGGTCATTGCTCTATATAATCTTAAGGAATTATATTATACGCGAGAATGAAATTTTCGCGACCATACCGTCTCGCGTAATAATGTGAAAATAAAGTTCTCGCGAATAAAAAGTGATTTACAGTATTCCCCTGTCCATTTTGATCCACCATTGGGGCCCTGCCCTACACCTGGGAGTCATGATTTGAACAAACTTAAATCTACACTACATGAAGATGCTACCGTATACATATCACCAGTCATGACATATTTGTTTCTGAGAAGATTTCTAAAAATATTTCCAATATAATCCAATGTAAAACTTTGATTGTCCAATGTGGCCCAAACCTTTTCCCGGTAGACATGATTTGAACAAAATGAAATCTTCACTACCAAAAAGGATGATTTGCTATCAATATAACTAATTGTGGCTTGAGAAAAAAAAAGTATATCCCTACATACTGTAGATTCCTAAATATGTGCGTGGAATTAATTTTCGCGTAATTTCGTGAGAAGCACCACACACAAAATTAAATTACTCGCCTTTATTTTTATGGCGCTGAAATCTATGTAAAATCTCTTAACCAACCATGCATTTGCGAATTATTATTCTTGTGATTTGACGGTGAAAAGCCTATTCGCGATAATTACTCGCGAAAAATAAGGAATCTACAGTATTATATATATTTTTGATCCCCTATTCTGACACCAACATGGGGTCTTGATTTGACTAATTTTGAATCTACACTACCTGAGGATGATGCCACATAAGTGTCTCTTTCCTGTCTCAGTGGTTCTTGAAAAGAAGATTTTTAAAAGATGTCCTTAATTTTTCTCTTATTTGTAGTAATCTTCCATTTGAAGAGGGAGTGGGCCTTCATTTGAATAAACTTAAATCCCATAATGGCATTTATCCAAGGATACTCTTTGCCAAGTTTCGTTGAATTTGACCAAAGATGAAAATGTGAAATTTTACAAACAAGAGGCCCATGGGCCACATCGCTCACCTGAGAAGCTTTGACCATTCTGTTCTTTACCAGATTTCCCCCTTGTAACACATATTGTGACCCCACCCTACCCCACTGATCAAAATTTAGACAATTTGAAATCTACACTACCCCAGGATGTTTCCACATAAGTTTCAGCTTTTCTGGCCCAGTGGTTCTTAAGAAGAAGATTTTCAAAGAGTTTTCCTATATATTTCTATGTAAAACTTTGATTCCCCATTGTGGCCCCGCCCTACCCCCGGTGGTCATGATTTGAACAATTTACAATCTACACTACCCCAGGATGCTTCCACACAAGTTTCAGCTTTTCTGGCCCAGTGGTTCTTGAGCAGAGGATTTTCAAAGATTTTTTCTATATATTTCTATGTAAAAATTTGATTCCCCATTGTGGCCCCGCCCAACCGCCGGGGGTCATGATTTGAACAATTTAGAATCTACACTACCCCAGGATGCTTCCACAGAAGTTTCAGCTTTTCTGGCCCAGTGGTTCTTGAGAAGATTTTTTAATGACCCCACCCTAGTTTTGTCTTTTCTTGATTATCTCCCCTTGTGAGGGGACTTGGCCCTTCATTTTAACAATTTAAATTCCCCTTCACTCAAGAATGCTTGGTACCAAGTTTGGTCAAAATTGGCCCAGTGGTTCTTGAGAAGAAGTCGAAAATGTGAAAAGTTTACAGATGGACGGACGGACAGACGACGGACAAAATGTGATCAGAAAAGCTCACTTTAGCCTTTGGCTCAGGTGAGCTAAAAAGATGACAAAGACATAAAATGAACAAAGGTTCACTTCTTTTAAAAACCAGCACTTATATCAATTGATTCTACTACTAAATTGGGTTTGTGATCAGGAGAGATCCTATATGAGATGTTTACCAGCTTTTGAGACTCATCTTCCCGTGCGTCCTTGCGAACTTAGCCTGGGACAAAATGATACCCAGTATCCGTCTGCTTCCACGTGGAGGCATCGCATAGGACTTGTTGTGGAGAGGCTATGTACTGGCAGGGGAAGTCATTAGAATTTCTTCCCCCTTTTCGCATTGCTGCTAGCCAGCGGTGATGGCTGAAAGCGAGAGGTGACAAGCACACAGACACTAACACCAACACACTAGACGCGTCACACAACATTTAGCAGACGTTAGTAGTTTTAGTAGCTTGTTACTTGTTCAGGGTTCTCCATTGTTTGAAATTTTACTGTGTTGCAGAGTTTACGCAAAGCACTAAAATTTCACGGTATTTTAGCGATCAAATTTGCAACTGACTCACTATTCACTATAATTACTTAAGATTACATGCACACAATTTAAAAAAAAAAAAATTACCAATTCGTTACAAAAATAGTATGGTCGAACATATTAGCACATGTTGTGAAATGCAGAGGAAATTCTTGTCTATAAAGTTGAACTACTTACAATTTTTTAAAGCAAATTTGTCATAATTTTTTTGTCAATTTTATTGATCGAATTAAGGAATTACAAAAAAAGAGACTTCGGAATAGTAAAATACTTTTAAAAGTTCCTTGAAAATTGAAAACTATTTATTTACATCAAGTAAATGATTTTGGTACAGTGTTATGTTTGATTTACATTGCAAACATAATTCTAGAGCCATGGCTCTAAAGAAAAGACATTTAAATATATTTTTAAAAATAATACAATGTACTTTAATTGCAACTACTAGTACCAATTAAGCGTTACATGGAAGTTTGAAATCCAATTTTTTGTCTTTGTTCCTTCATGCGTCAAGTCCATTGAGGGTCTAGGAAATAATTGATTATGCAAGGTGAAAGCATAATTAAGTGATCTAGATATCGTATAGAATTGAAAGACGGTAGAATTGTTTGATCAATTATGTTTCAGATAGAGAGAATTTGTATGTTTCAATTTTTTTTTATTATCACAGATCTTACTGTGTCAGCAAAATTTTTAATGTGTCGCACAGATAAAATTTGAATCTTTACTGTGTCGGAGAACATTTTTCTGTGTCGGGACCAACACAGTAAAACAGCTCATGGAGAACCCTGCTTGTTAGGGTGTTAATCATGCAAACCTATCCACCACAAGCACTAATCATGCACTAACTAACAAATACCTTAATTACAATAATAACCTACACTCCTCTAAGCTGTCTAACTATCAACTAAAGCCTACTTACTAACTCAAACTACAACACAACTGCACCTACCGGAAATACTATACAAACTAAACCTAAGACTAAGAAACACCTTTGTAACGCTACTTACAACTACTATACACCCCATACTTTCTGAATGCAGCAGAAAACACTCCAGACTGACCTTCAGAGGTGGCTATCTCTGCTTCCTGTCAATTCAAACTCAAGAGGTCAAAGCCTGAAAAAGCCAACATCAATTGGAAAGCCATAATATTGGGAAAAGGTGCTCAGAGGTCAAGTATGAATCTTACCGCACTTTCTGCTCATGAACGCTGTTAAATGGGAGAGGGACTGCTCTTCACTTCAGGATCCTGGTCAGCCTCAAATTTCTTCTGCTTAAAAAGAGAAAACAAACACATCAAAGGAGAATCACTCACATTCCCTAACAAATGACAAACTTCATTTGAATAATCAATTTGTTACTTACAACCTTGAGCCATATTGGTTGCTGCATAGAGATGGGAAATGGACTCGTCATCCTGTCTTTTGCTGTTGGTCGACCTTGCTCCTCCATCGTTGTTCCTCTTCCCAGTCCCTGAAAGTATAAAACTGGCACAATGTTAGTAAAACTTCAAAAGAATGCAACAAATCACGAAAAGTTACTTACCACTTTGGGCCATGTTGGCTGCTGTATAGAGATGGGAAATGGACTCGTCATCTCGTCTTCCTCTGTTGGTCGACCCTGCTCCTCCATCGTTGTTCCTCTTCCCAGTCCCTGAAAGTATAAAACTGGCACAATGTTAGTAAAACTTCAAAAGAATGCAACAAATCACGAAAAGTTACTTACCACTTTGGGCCATGTTGGCTGCTGTATAGAGATGGGAAATGGACTCGTCATCTCGTCTTCCTCTGTTGGTCGACCCTGCTCCTCCATCGTTGTTCCTCTTCCCAGTCCCTGAAAGTATAAAACTGGCACAATGTTAGTAAAACTTCAAAAGAATGCAACAAATCACGAAAAGTTACTTACCACTTTGGGCCATGTTGGCTGCTGTATAGAGATGGGAAATGGACTCGTCATCTCGTCTTCCTCTGTTGGTCGACCCTGCTCCTCCATCGTTGTTCCTCTTCCCAGTCCCTGAAAGTATAAAACTGGCACAATGTTAGTAAAACTTCAAAAGAATGCAACAAATCACGAAAAGTTACTTACCACTTTGGGCCATGTTGGCTGCTGTATAGAGATGGGAAATGGACTCGTCATCTCGTTTCCTCTGTTGGTCGACCCTGCTCCTCCATCGTTGTTCCTCTTCCCAGTCCCTGAAAGTATAAAACTGGCACAATGTTAGTAAAACTTCAAAAGAATGCAACAAATCACGAAAAGTTACTTACCACTTTGGGCCATGTTGGCTGCTGTATAGAGATGGGAAATGGACTCGTCATCTCGTCTTCCTCTGTTGGTCGACCCTGCTCCTCCATCGTTGTTCCTCTTCCGAGTCCCTGAAAGTATAAAACTGGCACAATGTTAGTAAAACTTCAAAAGAATGCAACAAATCACGAAAAGTTACTTACCACTTTGGGCCATGTTGGCTGCTGTATAGAGATGGGAAATGGACTCGTCATCTCGTCTTCCTCTGTTGGTCGACCCTGCTCCTCCATCGTTGTTCCTCTTCCCAGTCCCTGCTAAAACTTTGCAAAAGAATGCAACAAATCATGAACTGTTCCTTTTCTTCTGTCAATACCCAGTCCCTGTATAGAGATGAAAGTATAAAACTGGCACAATGTTAGTAAAACTTCAAAAGAATGCAACAAATCACGAAAAGTTACTTACCACTTTGGGCCATGTTGGCTGCTGTATAGAGATGGGAAATGGACTCGTCATCTCGTCTTCCTCTGTTGGTCGACCCTGCTCCTCCATCGTTGTTCCTCTTCCCAGTCCCTGAAAGTATAAAACTGGCACAATGTTAGTAAAACTTCAAAAGAATGCAACAAATCACGAAAAGTTACTTACCACTTTGGGCCATGTTGGCTGCTGTATAGAGATGGGAAATGGACTCGTCATCTCGTCTTCCTCTGTTGGTCGACCCTGCTCCTCCATCGTTGTTCCTCTTCCCAGTCCCTGAAAGTATAAAACTGGCACAATGTTAGTAAAACTTCAAAAGAATGCAACAAATCACGAAAAGTTACTTACCACTTTGGGCCATGTTGGCTGCTGTATAGAGATGGGAAATGGACTCGTCATCTCGTCTTCCTCTGTTGGTCGACCCTGCTCCTCCATCGTTGTTCCTCTTCCCAGTCCCTGAAAGTATAAAACTGGCACAATGTTAGTAAAACTTCAAAAGAATGCAACAAATCACGAAAAGTTACTTACCACTTTGGGCCATGTTGGCTGCTGTATAGAGATGGGAAATGGACTCGTCATCTCGTCTTCCTCTGTTGGTCGACCCTGCTCCTCCATCGTTGTTCCTCTTCCCAGTCCCTGAAAGTATAAAACTGGCACAATGTTAGTAAAACTTCAAAAGAATGCAACAAATCACGAAAAGTTACTTACCACTTTGGGCCATGTTGGCTGCTGTATAGAGATGGGAAATGGACTCGTCATCTCGTCTTCCTCTGTTGGTCGACCCTGCTCCTCCATCGTTGTTCCTCTTCCCAGTCCCTGAAAGTATAAAACTGGCACAATGTTAGTAAAACTTCAAAAGAATGCAACAAATCACGAAAAGTTACTTACCACTTTGGGCCATGTTGGCTGCTGTATAGAGATGGGAAATGGACTCGTCATCTCGTCTTCCTCTGTTGGTCGACCCTGCTCCTCCATCGTTGTTCCTCTTCCCAGTCCCTGAAAGTATAAAACTGGCACAATGTTAGTAAAACTTCAAAAGAATGCAACAAATCACGAAAAGTTACTTACCACTTTGGGCCATGTTGGCTGCTGTATAGAGATGGGAAATGGACTCATCTCGTCTTCCTCTGTTGGTCGACCCTGCTCCTCCATCGTTGTTCCTCCATCCGTTGTTCCTCTTCCCCGTCCCTGAAAGTATAAAACTGGCACAATGTTAGTAAAACTTCAAAAGAATGCAACAAATCACGAAAAGTTACTTACCACTTTGGGCCATGTTGGCTGCTGTATAGAGATGGGAAATGGACTCGTCATCTCGTCTTCCTCTGTTGGTCGACCCTGCTCCTCCATCGTTGTTCCTCTTCCCAGTCCCTGAAAGTATAAAACTGGCACAATGTTAGTAAAACTTCAAAAGAATGCAACAAATCACGAAAAGTTACTTACCACTTTGGGCCATGTTGGCTGCTGTATAGAGATGGGAAATGGACTCGTCATCTCGTCTTCCTCTGTTGGTCGACCCTGCTCCTCCATCGTTGTTCCTCTTCCCAGTCCCTGAAAGTATAAAACTGGCACAATGTTAGTAAAACTTCAAAAGAATGCAACAAATCACGAAAAGTTACTTACCACTTTGGGCCATGTTGGCTGCTGTATAGAGATGGGAAATGGACTCGTCATCTCGTCTTCCTCTGTTGGTCGACCCTGCTCCTCCATCGTTGTTCCTCTTCCCAGTCCCTGAAAGTATAAAACTGGCACAATGTTAGTAAAACTTCAAAAGAATGCAACAAATCACGAAAAGTTACTTACCACTTTGGGCCATGTTGGCTGCTGTATAGAGATGGGAAATGGACTCGTCATCTCGTCTTCCTCTGTTGGTCGACCCTGCTCCTCCATCGTTGTTCCTCTTCCCAGTCCCTGAAAGTATAAAACTGGCACAATGTTAGTAAAACTTCAAAAGAATGCAACAAATCACGAAAAGTTACTTACCACTTTGGGCCATGTTGGCTGCTGTATAGAGATGGGAAATGGACTCGTCTTCCTCTGTTGGTCGACCCTGCTCCTCCATCGTTGTTCCTCTTCCCAGTCCCTGAAAGTATAAAACTGGCACAATGTTAGTAAAACTTCAAAAGAATGCAACAAATCACGAAAAGTTACTTACCACATGTTGGCTTGTATAGAGATGGGAAATGGACCATGTTGGCTCCTCCATCGTTGTTCCTAGAGTCCCTGAAAGTGGGCAAATGTTAGAAAACTTCAAAAGAATGCAACAAATCACATAAAGTTACTTACCACTTTGGGCTGTTGCTGCTGTATAGAGATGATGTTTCTCCTGTCTTCCTCTGTTTTCTGCTTCCTGTCAATTCAAAATCAATAGACAAAGCCAACATCAATTGGAAAGCCAAAATACTGGTACTCAGGTATGAATCTTACCACTTTCTGCTCGTTGTTCATTCACACATTGTTCCTCTTCCGAGACCCTGAAAGTATAAAACTGGCACAATGTTAGTAAAACTTCAAAAGAATGCAACAAATCACGAAAAGTTACTTACCACTTTGGGCCATGTTGGCTGCTGTATAGAGATGGGAAATGGACTCGTCATCTCGTCTTCCTCTGTTGGTCGACCCTGCTCCTCCATCGTTGTTCCTCTTCCCAGTCCCTGAAAGTATAAAACTGGCACAATGTTAGTAAAACTTCAAAAGAATGCAACAAATCACGAAAAGTTACTTACCACTTTGGGCCATGTTGGCTGCTGTATAGAGATGGGAAATGGACTCGTCATCTCGTCTTCCTCTGTTGGTCGACCCTGCTCCTCCATCGTTGTTCCTCTTCCCAGTCCCTGAAAGTATAAAACTGGCACAATGTTAGTAAAACTTCAAAAGAATGCAACAAATCACGAAAAGTTACTTACCACTTTGGGCCATGTTGTTGGCCTGTATAGAGATGGGAAATGGACTCGTCATCTCGTCTTCCTCTGTTGGTCGACCCTGCTCCTCCATCGTTGTTCCTCTTCCCAGTCCCTGAAAGTATAAAACTGGCACAATGTTAGTAAAACTTCAAAAGAATGCAACAAATCACGAAAAGTTACTTACCACTTTGGGCCATGTTGGCTGCTGTATAGAGATGGGAAATGGACTCGTCATCTCGTCTTCCTCTGTTGGTCGACCCTGCTCCTCCATCGTTGTTCCTCTTCCCAGTCCCTGAAAGTATAAAACTGGCACAATGTTAGTAAAACTTCAAAAGAATGCAACAAATCACGAAAAGTTACTTACCACTTTGGGCCATGTTGGCTGCTGTATAGAGATGGGAAATGGACTCGTCATCTCGTCTTCCTCTGTTGGTCGACCCTGCTCCTCCATCGTTGTTCCTCTTCCCAGTCCCTGAAAGTATAAAACTGGCACAATGTTAGTAAAACTTCAAAAGAATGCAACAAATCACGAAAAGTTACTTACCACTTTGGGCCATGTTGGCTGCTGTATAGAGATGGGAAATGGACTCGTCATCTCGTCTTCCTCTGTTGGTCGACCCTGCTCCTCCATCGTTGTTCCTCTTCCCAGTCCCTGAAAGTATAAAACTGGCACAAGATTAGTAAGACTTCAATGCAACAAATCACAAAAATTCAAGTGAATGAAATCAGTAAAACACAATTCGTTGAAAAATCAGAAAACAATGACAGTGAATTCAGGAAGACAAATGAGGGGGAAAGGGAAGGGGATGGTTAGTTATGTCAGCAGGGGCCAGGGGGTAAGTTCAACCTTCCATATAAGCTTCCTTTGCTGTTGCTGTGGCTTTGGGTGATGTTTCTCCTGAACTGTCTCAGCATTTCTGCTTCCTGTCAATTCAAAATCAATAGGTCAAAGCCTGACAAAGCCAACATCAATTGGAAAGCCAAAATACTGGAAAGGTACAAAGAGGTCAAATGGACTTACCGCACTTTCTGTCAACGCTGTTAAATGGGAGAGGGACTGCTCTTCACTTCAGGATCCTGGTCAGCCTCAAATTTCTTCTGCTTGAGAAAACAAACACATGGAGAATCACACACATTCCCTAACAATGACAAACTCATTTGAATAATCAATTTGTTACTTACAACTTTGTGCCATGTTGGCTGCTGTATAGAGATGGGAAATGGACTCGTCATCTCGTCTTCCTCTGTTGGTCGACCTTGCTCCTCCATCGTTGTTCCTCTTCCCAGTCCCTGAAAGTATAAAACTGGCACAATGTTAGTAAAACTTCAAAAGAATGCAACAAATCACGAAAAGTTACTTACCACTTTGGGCCATGTTGGCTGCTGTATAGAGATGGGAAATGGACTCGTCATCTCGTCTTCCTCTGTTGGTCGACCCTGCTCCTCCATCGTTGTTCCTCTTCCCAGTCCCTGAAAGTATAAAACTGGCACAATGTTAGTAAAACTTCAAAAGAATGCAACAAATCACGAAAAGTTACTTACCACTTTGGGCCATGTTGGCTGCTGTATAGAGATGGGAAATGGACTCGTCATCTCGTCTTCCTCTGTTGGTCGACCTTGCTCCTCCATCGTTGTTCCTCTTCCCAGTCCCTGAAAGTATAAAACTGGCACAATGTTAGTAAAACTTCAAAAGAATGCAACAAATCACGAAAAGTTACTTACCACTTTGGGCCATGTTGGCTGCTGTATAGAGATGGGAAATGGACTCGTCATCTCGTCTTCCTCTGTTGGTCGACCCTGCTCCTCCATCGTTGTTCCTCTTCCCAGTCCCTGAAAGTATAAAACTGGCACAATGTTAGTAAAACTTCAAAAGAATGCAACAAATCACGAAAAGTTACTTACCACTTTGGGCCATGTTGGCTGCTGTATAGAGATGGGAAATGGACTCGTCATCTCGTCTTCCTCTGTTGGTCGACCCTGCTCCTCCATCGTTGTTCCTCTTCCCAGTCCCTGAAAGTATAAAACTGGCACAATGTTAGTAAAACTTCAAAAGAATGCAACAAATCACGAAAAGTTACTTACCACTTTGGGCCATGTTGGCTGCTGTATAGAGATGGGAAATGGACTCGTCATCTCGTCTTCCTCTGTTGGTCGACCCTGCTCCTCCATCGTTGTTCCTCTTCCCAGTCCCTGAAAGTATAAAACTGGCACAATGTTAGTAAAACTTCAAAAGAATGCAACAAATCACGAAAAGTTACTTACCACTTTGGGCCATGTTGGCTGCTGTATAGAGATGGGAAATGGACTCGTCATCTCGTCTTCCTCTGTTGGTCGACCCTGCTCCTCCATCGTTGTTCCTCTTCCCAGTCCCTGAAAGTATAAAACTGGCACAATGTTAGTAAAACTTCAAAAGAATGCAACAAATCACGAAAAGTTACTTACCACTTTGGGCCATGTTGGCTGCTGTATAGAGATGGGAAATGGACTCGTCATCTCGTCTTCCTCTGTTGGTCGACCCTGCTCCTCCATCGTTGTTCCTCTTCCCAGTCCCTGAAAGTATAAAACTGGCACAATGTTAGTAAAACTTCAAAAGAATGCAACAAATCACGAAAAGTTACTTACCACTTTGGGCCATGTTGGCTGCTGTATAGAGATGGGAAATGGACTCGTCATCTCGTCTTCCTCTGTTGGTCGACCCTGCTCCTCCATCGTTGTTCCTCTTCCCAGTCCCTGAAAGTATAAAACTGGCACAATGTTAGTAAAACTTCAAAAGAATGCAACAAATCACGAAAAGTTACTTACCACTTTGGGCCATGTTGGCTGCTGTATAGAGATGGGAAATGGACTCATCATCTCGTCTTCCTCTGTTGGTCGACCTTGCTCCTCCATCGTTGTTCCTCTTCCAAGTCCCTGAAAGTATAAAACTGGCACAATGTTAGTAAAACTTCAAAAGAATGCAACAAATCACGAAAAGTTACTTACCACTTTGGGCCATGTTGGCTGCTGTATAGAGATTGGAAATGGACTCGTTATCTCGTTCTCTTCTGTGGGTCGACCCTGCTCCTCCATCGTTGTTCCTCTTCCGAGTCCCTGAAAGTATAAACTGGCACAAGATTAGTAAGACTTCAAAACAATGCAACAAATCACAAAAATTCAAGTGAATAAAATCAGTACAACACAATTCATTGAAAAATCAGAAAACAATGACAGTGAATTCAGGAAGACGAATGAGGGGGAAAGGGAAGGGGATGGTTAGTTATGTTAGAGTCAGCAGGGGCCAGGGGGTAGGGAAAAGTAGGGAGAAAATCAAAAATACTTCCATATAAGCTTCCTTTGCTGTTGCTGTGGCTTCTGGTGATGTTTCTTCTGAACTGTCTCAGCATTTCTGCTTCCTGTCAATTCAAAATCAATAGGTCAAAGCCTGACAAAGCCAACATCAATTGGAAAGCCAAAATACTGGGAAAAGGTACAAAGAGGTCAAGATGAATCTTACCCCATTTTCTGCTCATGAATGCTGTTAAATGGGAAAGGGACTGCTCCTCACTTCAGGATCCTGGTCAGCCTCAAATTTCTTCTGCTCTTATAAAGAGAAAACAGACACATCATAGGGGAGACACTCTCATTTCACATGAAGTATGAAACTTCATTTAAAAGCATAGATAATCAAAGATTATGAAGCTCACCTCGACGAATGTTATCAGTTTAAGTAATGCAAATCTCACATCATATTTCCTTAACAGTTAGTATTTATCCTGACAACAATATTCAAGCAAATTCTGTTTAAATAGGTTTTAAAGTTCATTGAGGATTGACATTTTCCAAATACTTGAACCTGGTCACTCGTTTGAAGAATGCAGGTCAGATCCAGCATCCGAAGCAAGTTTCAAATGTCCATCTTTAGATGCATCATCCATGCAAGTTTGGTCAGGGTAGAGCTGAGTTGGGAATAATTTCATCACTCATCTGGAAAAAGTAGGTCATCAAGCATCCGAAGCAAGTCTGGTAGTGTCCATTCCTAGATGCATCATCCATGCTTGTTTGGATCGGGTAGGACTTACAGTTTCTTGGGAATGGACCTGCTCCAAAAACCTTAACCTGGTCACTCATCTGGAAAATGTGGGTCAGATCCAGCATCCGAAGCAAGTCTGGTAGTGTCCATTCCTAAATGCATCATCCATGCAATTTTGGTCCAGGTACGACTTATACTTACTAGAACATGGACTTGCTCCTAAAACTCTACCATGGCACAAATGCTAACCCTGAGGCTGGTGTCAGGGTATAGCATAACTACATCTTGACTTTGTTGAGGTAAGTTCAAGTTCAAAATAAAGCTTTAAGGTAAAAAAAATTTTTGCATTTGAATAACCTTCATCAATATCTCTAATTTGATTGTGATCATTCAACAGGTTAATAGTTATATTAGAATGACTATTTCCAAATATTTCCTTGCTCCAAAAATTTTGACTCTTTCACTCATCCATAAAATGTAGGTTGGATTCAGAATCTAAAGCAAGCCTGGTAATGGATCCATGAAAGATTGGTCAAAATAGGCCTTATAGTTACTTGGAAATGAGACTAGCTCAAAAAACTTTTAACCTAGTCACTCATATTAAAAATAAAGGCCAGATTCAGCATCCGAGGCAAGCCTGGTAGTGTACTTCCATATATTTTATTTTGGATGTACATGTTCGATTCTCGTAAGTTTGGTCAAAATACTTGGAAATGACACCTGCTTCAAAAACATTAACCTGATCATTCTTTTAAATTAGCTGAAATTGCAGTCTCTGAAACCCTGGTTGGTACAATGAAACATACTTGAAGCATCTTACATGCATCCCTTAGGGGCTAGGGCATAGATGTACTTAAAAAGAAGTCTGCTCCAAAAACTTTCATCTGGGACACCAACACTTGCACTGATCCCATGGGTGTTACTAATATTCCTGTCCATTTCATATTGGTGAGCAAAAAAAATGATTAAAATGCATATTTTTTATGCCATCTCTGATTTGATGAATAAATTTATGCAAGTAAAATGTCATGCCGACAACCTCACCGCTTGATTTCCAGCAGAATCCGGAAAGGGGGCAAAACATCAATTGGCTGGGCTATTCCATTTGAGAACAAGAGGCCCAGGGGCCACATCGCTCACCTGAGCAATTTGCTAGGAAAAAGCACATATCAGTTCAGAACTGAAAGTTTGCTGAGGGGGGGGGGGGGCTTAAATTTTAACCTCTCATTTTTTATTTGCAGTCATGGTTTGAACAAACTAGAATCTACACTACATGAGAATGATTCCATATAAATATCACTTAGCATGGATTTGAAGTACTTTTAAAGAGGATTTTAAAAGGTTTCTCTACATATACCTATGTTAAACTTTGATCGGCCATTTTGGCCCCACCCTACAAACTTGAATCTACACTATCTGGGATTAATTTCACATGAATTTAATCTTTCCTGTCTCAATGGTTCTTGAGATGAAGATTTTAAAGATTTTTCCTATATATTCCAATGTAAAACTTTGATCTGCCATTTTGGCCCCAAACCCCCAGGGGTTATGATTTAAAGAAACTTGAATCTACACTTCCTGAGGATGATTCCACATGAGATTCATCTTTCCTGTCCGAGTGGTTCTTGAGAAGAAGATTTTTAAAGATTTTTCCTTTATATTCCTATGTAAAACTTTGATCTGCCATTTTGGCCCCACCCTACCCCCGGGGGTCATGAATTGAACAAACTTGAATCTACACTACATGAGGATGAATCCACATCAGTTTCATCTTTCCTGGCCCAGTGGTTCTTGAGAAGAAGATTTTTAAAGATTTTTCCTATATGTTCCTATGTAAAACTTTGATTGGCCATTTTTCCCCACCCTAGCCCCAGGGGTCATGATTTGAACAAACTTGAATCTATACTACCTGAGGATGATTCCACATGAGTTTTATCTTTCCTGGCCCAGTGGTTCTTGAGAAGAAGATTTTTAAAGATTTTTCCTATATACTCCTATGTAAAACTTTGATCGGCCATTGTTGCCCCACCCTACCCCCAGGGGTCATGACTAACGAATTTGAATTTACACTATCAGGATGATTCCACATGAAGTTTCATCTTTCCTGGCCCAATGGTTCGTGAGAAAAGGATTTTTTAAAAATGCCATTAATTTTTCTCTAATTCATAATTATCTCCCCTTGGAAAAGGGTGTGGCCCTTCATTTGAACAAACTTGAATCCCCTTCACCCAAGGATACTTTGTAGCAAGTTTGGTTGAAATTGGCCCAGTGGTTCTTGAGAAGAAGATGAAAATGTGAAAAGTTTACAATGACGACAACGACGACGACAACGACAACGACGACAACAACGACGACTAACGGACAAATTTTGATCAGAAAAGCTCACTTGAGCCTTTGGCAGGTGAGCTAAAAAAGTGACATTTGGTTGAAATTAAAAAAAAATATATAATTTTGTCATTTTTCTATTTATGTAAATAAATAAATTTTATTCAAAGCTAGTTTATCTTTTATTTGCATGGTACTCATTGACTTTTTTACTTGCATATGATGTATTAAGGTACAGGAGTACCTCCCTCTTTTTCAAAAGGGAGGGGAGTTTAGTGTGGTATGAGTGTGTGCAGGTATGTGTTAACTTGACACTGTGTGCAATGCGCAAGTGTGAGTTCGTTGTCGTTTGTTGTGCATGGTGGTGTGCAGATCTAGTCACTTGTATTGCAGGAGAGATTGCGTTTATTAGGGATGTCAACGAATATTCGAATTTTCGAATATTCATTCGATGAGTTGGTATTCGAATATAAAATTATGATTCGAATATTCGTATTTAAAGTATACAAGCATCAAAAAGAAAAAAAAATCTGGTAAAAACTGAAGCTTTATCAGAAATTGAATCAAATTTTATCGTTAACCAAAAAAGATTTTAATTAAAACAAAATTAAAAGACACTTCTCTCTTGGATTACCTTAAAGGTGTGAAGATGTGTTCATTAATTTAAAACAATTTAAATTATTCATTTGATCATTTAATTAGATGTATAACAGTGTCCAGTACTTAGAATTAGTTTGTGTTGTTGAAAAGAATTAGTTTGTGTTGTTGAAACACACATTTTGAAAGTAACAATTATCCCTTATTTATGTATAATAATTTAAAATCATTATCAGGAAATTAATTTAAAAGTAATTGCTTTTAGCCTTTATAAATCCAAATAATTGTTCTGTGTGGTACAAATGTAGGGTTATCAGTGTACACTTTGGTAAGATGATTAATTAATCTGTAACTTTATTAAAAGAATCTTATTGATTTTCTGGGAAATTTTGTTTATTATATTTTGGATGTAAACTTACATATATTCTGTAAAATATTTTAAGAATATAATCAAAAAGCATTAACAAAGCTCTAAATGAAATTTTATTCCAAAATAATGATATAAAAGGTATATTGCTTGACAAGAGAGTGAAGATATATACATATTATTGCAAGATGTATTTATTTTATGTATATTCTCTCAATACTACTTTAGTGTGAATATTGTTGTCAATTAACTTGACAATTTTGACATCCCTAGTTACTATTATGTATCGTAAGTCTTGTATGAAATTAAGGAATTCAAGCTTATTTCGACTTATATTATGTAACATATAAACTTGGGGTTTATGGTGGTGTGTAGATCGTATAACATAAGTCACTTGCTTCATTCCTTATAATTTGCAGGACAAGTTTTCCATGTTTTTCTGTTCGGAAAAGGGCTTAAATATCGTTAAGTCTTTGTGACGTAGGAAGTACAAAATGGATAAATCCATTTATCAAATAATGTTAAAACTGAAATTAAATTATTGCTGAATACAAATATAAACAATTACTATCATTGTCAGTTTATACATACAATACTTCAACATTCACTCAATCAGTATTTGGAGCACGTCGTTTATATATTTATTTGAACATCAATTAGATTATACATTACAGAGTCCAAATATTTTATAACCAAATTTTGTTTGTTTTGATTGTCTGTTGGAAATTTTCTTTGGTGAAATTGGGAAAACACATACTTTTTGCCATTATGAATGGAGCAAAAAACAGGCCCCTTCGACACCCTAAAAATGCCTGTCAGTAAAAATATTTGCATTATCAATACACAGTTGATTCAGGGCAAAGTTAACCCCACTTAGGATCTGATGTCCCAAACTTATGCAGAGTCTAAAAGCACAATACATTTTCAAACGATATTTCACTTTTTTGTTTTATAGATTAATTCACCTGTAGGTTTTAAGCTGTCCCTTTCCGCAGCTTAAAAATACTTTATCAACGTTTTATCAATACGTGCATCTGAATCCGACAAATGTTATTTCAAATAATGTTAACTGTTTTCCCCAACCAACTCACCTGACCGTCCACTGACGCCAAATTTGCTGTTCGCGCCACATGTCAAAATTTAAAACTCACAATTTCGATCCCGATGCAAATAAATTACAAATGCATGCAAGAAACAAATAATAAATTTATGTATTAATCAATCCCCCAATTATAAAACAATTTTAGCAATTAATCTAGAATATGCTCTACCTCTGGGCAGGACAAAATATTTATGTCTCAAACCTGTCTTGTTATATAAGCGACATTGCTAGGTTACTGGAAGGGGGGGGGGGGGGGGGGGGTCTGAGATAATTTTTTTTTTTTTTAGAAATAAATGCGTTTCAATTTTTCATGTATTCGGTTGATTTTTATGGATTCTATTGCATTTTGAAAATGTGAAAAACCTCTTAACCGAAAGCCTTTTTTTTTATTTTAATGCATATTTGCAAGATTAAATGCGACGAATATATCCTGTCCTATTTATTCCCTTGTAACTACATTTCCCCTAAAATTGCAGACTATTTTGTGTCATTTGTAAAACTATCTACAGCTGTCTAAGGAGATCTGGAAGTTGTGTCGTTTGACCACTGACCAGGGAAAATACCCTTTGAAAATGGCGGGGATGTCAAAATATACAACCTTCCTCAGAGAAATTAAACAAATTCTTAAACATTTTTTATTACAACAGCTTTAGAATATTTACCTCAATTTTTGATCATCTCTGGGCTCCTGTAATGCACTTTCGACTGAAAAATGTAATGAACTGATCTGAAAGTCTGCTGCGCAGTTACCTGTTACTGCTTTGTGAATTCAGTTGTGAATTATGTTCAAACATCATGCTCACGTGATTTAATTACGTATTCATCATTCATTACACTACTGCGGTCATTAAATCGTGAAATATAAACTAACGCTGCGAGTACACAATTTTTTTGTTACATGTATATTGTAAATTTCAACAGAAAATCTTGTGCGTGGGTATTTTAATAAACTTTTTAAAATTACAGTCATGAATACATTTATATGTAACAGTTATGTTTATTCAAAATAATATACCGGTATAAACATACATTGTAGACGGTAAAATATTCATGAATATACTTTAATATATAGGGTATATCAATCTATAATTGCTTGCATGCTTATTTTGAGTGCAGAATACCAAGTCATAATTATATTATATTTCAAGATTAAAAGCATTATCATTATATTTAGGCCAAGATTTTTCCTCAAAAATTTTTCTGCAACTTTGATATTTATACCCCCCCTAGACTCCCAATCATAATCGTAGGACACAATGCAAATAGGCTGGGGAAAATTGAGATTTTCTTTATAAAATTCAATTTTTCTTTTGAAACTTTGATATTTTAACCATCTAGGATACAAAATCTCTCTTTATATATGATATGGAAGAAGTACCGAATTCTGAATATATACATATTATGAAAGAAATTCAACCACACATTTTTTGCATAGTCTGAAATATGGCCTATCATGTAAAAAGCGATTTCTTAAAAAAACTAGAGGTACTGTGAGCGATGAGCTCATAAATCTCTCGCCTCCATATAGTTATAATGACAAAGTCCATGTTTTGCTGTGGCGGGGAAACCCAAAATATGTGTCGGATCAAAAAGTAAAATAGGAGGTGCACAATGGCAATATGTAATAAAGATTTGTTAAAGTTTCATCAAATTTTTCAGTTTATGAAGGAGTGATAAGTATGGGTCCCCAGCATGTGAAGATGAAAAATTTACCCAGGTTAAAATCATTTTCATTAGCAGTGTGATAAATATTCCATCCTACATCAAGCAGTCAAACTGTTAGTATGACAGCATAATAAAGAATAATTGTAAAATTCAAATCTTTATATGCATATTGACATAAGATGTATTTTGAGCAATGAGCTTCAGTATACGTGTATCCCATATCGTTATCACTGATGACAAAGTCCATGTTTTGCCGTGGCCGGGAAACCCACTTTGTGTCTGATCAAAAAGTAAAATAGGAGGTGCACAATGGCAATTCTAATAAAGATTCTGTGAAAGTTTGTTAAATTTCACTCAGTTATAAGAGGGTTGCGGATAAGAGATGGGTACCCTAAAGCGTAAAGCTAGAAATTCAAAATTGATTGTGACATACTAAGCAAATAGTTTATATACCAAAATGCATAAATTCTAGAAATTTTTGATAGTGGCAACTAACAAATAGTTTATATAGGAAAATGCATTAAATAACCCAACCAAGTGCATAGTTAAGTTGAATATGGCTGCATGTTTCAAAACTGTGAATCTCATGGCCCCAGGGTTAGGGGTTCTAGGGGTTCTAGTGCTAGGGCGGGGCTAAATAGTTTATATAGTGAAAATGCATAAATTCTTTTAAATTCTTCTTCTCTCCTCATGGGCGTTAAATAAACTAATTAAGTGTATATAGTTATGTTGAATAAGGCTGCCTCTTCCAAAATTGAATTTCATGGCCCAAGGGTCAGGGGTTCTAGTACTAGGGCAGGGCTATATAGATTATATAGTGAAATGAATTATTTCTCTAAAAATCTTTTGTTTTTCTGCGCCTGGGTATTAAACCAATGAACTATGTACATAGTTATGAGAAGAAAGGATGCCTTTTTCAGTTTTTGAGATTTGTGAATTTCATGGCCCCTGTGTCAGGGCTTCTTGCGTTAGGGTGGGGCTAATGTTTATATAATGAAAATGCATGAATTCTTTGAAAATCTTTTCGTTTGCCCCTGGGTATTATGCCAATGATCTAAGTACATGTACATATCTATGATGAAGAAAGCTGCCTCTTTCAAACTGGTTAATTTCCGGGCTCCTGTGTCAGAGGTATTAAAAGGGGGAGGGTACATAGTCTGAAAATAAATTAATGCTTTGAAATCTGCACTTTGATATCAATCAACAATTTATGATGAAATAAAATCCATGATCAAATTTCCAAAATTTTGACCCCAGGGTCAGTGATTTCTTTGGGGTGAGGTACACAAGTGGTTATAGAGTGGAAATGCATTTTCTCTTTGTTACTCTGATCTACCTCTGGGTATTTTAGTAACCAAAGTAAGCATGTTAAGTCAGTGTATAAATGTAGCAATAAGTGACAATTAATTGTGAATGTATGTCGTTAATGATTTACACTAAAAAAAATAAAAATTCCGCTGGAAAAAAGCTCAGTACATTGCTCATAAAGGATGTTTCAAGACACGATTAGGCAATATCATAAATTTCATGAAAGAGTCAACTTACTACTATTTCAAATCACGTTATGAGAATGGCAGATTCATTTTAGAGTTATCTCCCTTAACAGATTTTTTTCATCCAAATAAATTTTCAAATATCAAAAAGAACAAAATTTCTTATTTTTAATACTAATAAATTACAACTAATTTTATAATATATAAAATAAACATTTTTTTTAATAAATAAGAAGGTATCTTTTTTTTAAAATCCAAAAATTTAAAATTGTAGTAAAACTCATTTAAAATTATTTGGATTTAATAAATTTAGAACAATCAAATTATATAGCTTGACATGACCAAATTATGGGTAATATGAGTGAAAAATTCAGTTTTTGTAACTGGGTAACATACCCAGCAAATCTATTATTAGAGAAGGAAACGGGGGAATGAAATGCAGTTGCTCATGGACATTACAGGCACGGGGGAACGGGACCTTCCCCCCCCCCCCCCTACCGTGTTCTGTACTCCAAGGGTCCTTTGACTTTTTTAATTAAAACAATTTTCTATGACATATTCACAAAGTATTTCTACTAAAGAATACAATATTTAAGCTAAAACTAGCCTTTTCTAACAATCCGTACCCTCTGATACAAATAAGTAACGTCAAGTGCCTGTGGACTATACCAACAAATAAGTGGGTGGATGGACCCCCTCGAACGGCATATTCCCCCTCCCCCGCGTTCTACTGTTTTGCAATACTCAATTCAATCAATTTTTTTTCCTATTGGTTAGTTTTCTCTTTCCATATATAGGAAGGTAGTTGTACTTTTTAGAGTTACTTCCCATTACAAATTATTTTATTCAAAGTAATATTAAAATATTTTTCATTGATTCAACTTCGTTAAATAAAATGATAACAATTAATTGCCTACTTATTAAGTAAATAAAAAGATTACAAACAATTTGAAATATTCTTCTTACTTGATTCTGTATTTGAATTTTAAGTAAAAATCATTAAAACTTATTTAAAACTGATTTATTCTGCCACTGGAGAAATCAGTATTATTAGTAAGCATCCTAAATAGTGTAGATTCATTCTTTGTGCGTGTGCCGGGGTAAGACCCAGGCATGAAATGTGAAATTGTTGGATAGGAGGTGGGTCGCAGCGTTCGGTGCAGTATGATGAAACTGCGCTCAAGCAATTAAAATAATTCATTAAGTTTCCTTTGTTGTTTAAACTTCAAGCTCAATATCAGAGTTACTCTTGAATTCTTGACTGCTCAAGAAATTTTATAAAGGTAGTAGTGGATGGATGACCCTGCCGTTCCAATCTATCCAATATACATATCTACTACCTCATACTCTTACATAGTAACTATATCAAATTATGAAAAACATATATTTAATGCATAACATGACATGTACATGTATATATAATTATATATGCACACAAAGTCCATCTGAATTTAGTAATTTTTGTTCCTTTGAAATATGACAAAGGATCAACATCTTGACACACCATCTAGTAAGCAATATATCAATTTATTCCCATTTAAAGTTTGTAAGAAATCTGGTAGCACCACCGCTAGAAAACCTGACTTTTAGAAAATAGCCTTGTAAAGTGACTTGCATTCCTCAAAATTCAAGTTAAATGAAAACAAAGTAAATGTTTAAGATCATTACAAGGTTTAATTTAAAATGAAACTGAGAAATCCATCACACTTTACCTTCTGACACAGGGGTACAAAAAAATCAATAAAGACTTGTTAAATGTTTATTTATTAAGTTTATCCTGATATTTTTACTTAATTCAGCCAAGGACAGCTTTGGACATTCCAGAGCCAAAGAAAGTTACAGATTTATCATTAACTTTAAACTGCATGCTTTTTGAGCTGTTTTTTCTGAGACAATTTCTTCTCTTGACTTCAATCTGAAAAAGAATAGTGTCAGTGTCAAACACATCCATTTAATAGAAATCATTTGATGCAATAAAAATGTCTTTAAGTTAAATTTCCAAAACATAGACTTATAAACTCATTGTAATGTGAAGAACTATAGATTTTTTTTCTTCTTTTTTCTTTGCTATTTCATTGTCAATTTAAGTTAGACACTGGCCAAAAAAAAAAAAAAATGAAAGGAAAGAAAATTTAACTGAAGACTCTTAGGAAATTTAACAGTTACTCTAAGTTATCTGTGTGTGAATAGCTTTTATTGAGATATCTGGAGTTAAACCACAGAAACTGCATATTTATGCTTTTCATAATCTATTTATAGATTAGCTTCTTTGGTTTATACTGATTTTGCCAACCAAAATATTCCTCACTCTTCAAAAGTCCTCATTTACAGACCAATTTAAGAGGTATTTGTAACAGGATTTTAGATGGGGTCACGTGACCCCGTCTATTAGTTTACTGTCAGAGGCCTCAAAACCGAAGCCATGGTGATAACAAATGAATTAAATCTATGCTATATGAAAGAGTGCAGAAATTGTTTTGATCAAAATATAAACATTCTATATCAAACTGAAGAAAGTGATATTAATTTTTTTTCTATTTAACTCAAACTAGTAAAGCATTTTGAACATTTAAAACTAAAAATATTAATTGTAAATCACACTAGTAAACAAAGTACTCTCCTGCGTATGCAT